GACAGGGGTCCAAAACTAAACAGCCTGCTTGAACTCCGCCAGCCAAAACACTATGAAACTCTGGTAGATTCCTCAAGGACCTGTAAGACCTACACCTAAACCCTAGGCCCTACACCCTAAACTTAAACCTTAAACCCTGAGCTAGAGAAAGCAGACGGAAAAGAGGGGTTCTAACACAAAACGCTTGTTTATGTCGGTTTACGTCATGCAGCAGCATGCATGTTGTATAGTGCTCGTTTTGTGGGGCGTTTGCAAGGGTTCGATCTCCTCAGCCCTCAGACTACGCGCGTCTTCATCATCGGCCCCGGCTTCGGCAACCAGTCGGCGCCCCAAGCCGGGAGCACGCAGACGCCGCTTGCAGAAGCAGTCTAAACACCTAAACCCTCTTAAATCTTAAAACCCCGAGCCAAAAAACCCCATGTAAAGCACAACTTATACATACGCCGCTTGAATCAGAGGGAGAAGGGCCAACAAAAGAAACCTCGACCCCGGAGTGCATGACATGCAGGAAACCTGGGAAGGCCCAAGCTGAAGATGGGAGTTTCAGAACACAGGGAGGGCACCCATTCTCAGATCTTAGATACTAGTAGTAGGATGCACCTCAGATGCCTCGAGGCTCAACCCACGGCAAAGCCGCATGGTTGAGTCGGCTGGCTATCAGGCGCATCAGCCGATCTTGAAGCCTTGACACTTGAAGGTTTCGGGCTTCAGCGAAACGTCCTCAACTGCCACACTTGGTTTGGCTTGGCCTTTTGTCTTGACGTCGCGCTGTTGGCGGCAGGAAGTGCTCATTCACATTTTGGATGGTACTAGGTAGGTTTCAATGATTCCTAGTTTGTAGATGCCGGCAATCCCAAACGGTGGGTTCCGTGTAGTTTGCAAGCTGGGCCACTGAACCAATCCGTGCCTGTCTTCAATCTGTTAAGTTCTTCCTTCGAAAGTGCTTGCCGGGCATAGAGCCCAGAATATGCCCAGTCTGATTCATGCCGTCCTTGTCCGGCGGGTGTACATACAATATGTGTATATGTATATATATATATATATATGTATATAATAAGCATATATATATATATATATATATATATATATATATATATATATATATAGATGTATGTATGTATGCATCTGCGCGCGCGTGATGGCGTGTGCGCACGTGCGTGCGTGGCAGCCTTCCAATAGGTGCAAGCTCAGAGCCCCAACGTCTTGATGAAGATGGTAATTAGGATGCTCGGATGGGTCCTCCTTCTGCCTTGCTTACATCAGGCAGTTTGTTGTAAGTGCTTCTGTCATCCAAGTTAGGCCAATATGGCACGCAATCTGGGAGCATAGGCCTCATGGTCCAAAACAGCCCTCCACGACAGGTTTCAGGGACCGACGAGGAGACTTTGGTAGACCACAACACACGCGGCACTAGCCCCGTTGACCAGGAGGTGTCAGATTCGATGCAAAACTCTCGTCTCCAAAAGCGCTATCATCGTTCATAGACCCTTAACACAAACCCCTAAAGTCCCTAAAGTCCCTAATGTCCCAAAACCAAAGCCCTAAGGTCCCTAAAGCCTAAACCCTAAATGTCAGATCGGCTGGTGCTTCAACATCCCGAACCCCGAGCTGCCGAACTTCCCCGTGGAGCCTTACCTAGGCTTGCATGGCTGAGGGTTTGGGGACGAGGCTTCCTTCACGGGCTGCTTCCTCAAGGGCTTTCGTGTTGGGACTTGGGGAGGAGTGCTGCTAAAGTTGAGGCTTCAGGGTTTGAAGTCCAGGGATCAGGCTGGAGGGTTGAGACGGTGAGGCGCACCGGCGGCAACATCATGTCATGTGCTGCACCAAGATTTGGTTTTTTCACGTCGACGAATAGAGGCCTGTGCGAAAGGAAGCCCGAAACCTATATGAGTATCCCTGAAGTCTTTTCAAGTCTTGGGATCTGGGGCTCCCGCTCAGACCGCCTCAAGTCGGAGATGGACGCGTGCGAACCCCGGAAGTGGGGTCGGGGAGCACGGGAACGTGGCAGGGCCCCGCAAGAAGAGCAAGAACAAGAGGGACGATAGGAACAACAGGAACAACTGGGGCAGTACAGAAGGTCAGCCTTGTTCGGAATGTTGAAGGTTTGGCTGTGGCGTTCGCGTTTGCCATGCCAGAAATTTTCAGGCTGCTTTTCCGCTTAGCTTTGTTCTGGCAGCAAAGCCAGAACAGCCTTAGGTGCACAGTCCCTGAGCCCATGCACCGAGACGCCCAAACGGACGCATGGCGTGCCAAGGTTTCGACCCCATGTTATTATGGGAGCATCGAAAGGCGGGGTGACCTATGACCTAAAGCCTAGAGCCTTCCCGGACCTGGACTTCAAAATAGGGAGCTTGAGCATGTTGGGGCTCGGGAGGTAAGGGAAAGTCAGGAGGTCGGAAGGTGCCGAACAGTGCCCCTACGAGGAAATGGTAAGTGATTGCCCTGACACTCACCACTCACCGCCGAAGGGATTCGAAAGCGTCCAACATGCTGTGCCCATGAGATTCCTCTCGCTATGCTGGCGTTCCTTTTGTGCCCTCGCCTTGCCCTCGTTGGGTAGGCGGCGTGTACATAGTCGGCCTCTGGCGCAGAGGCTACTGGAGAGGGCCCGGGCCCTTGGCTTTGCTTAAGCTGCTGAGCCTGAGCCTAAACCCTAAACCCTAAACTCTAGACCTTAAGCTGCTGAGCCACCGGGTCGGTCGGATGTTGCTCCGCCTGTAAGCGGCAGATTTTCTTCGGCTTCAGTTGTTTTGGATAGTGTTCCCTGGGCAGACTTCAGGTGCAAGCGCTTTGAGCCCTGGGACCTTGAAGAGTTCTTGAATGGGGATCCTTGCAGTCGCGCCCTGCCAAGATCTCTTACGGGAACCCTCATAGCAACCCCTCTTCTAGGCTTCACAGCAACTGTATGTTAGTACGAACCATCATGGCCTCCCTCATGCTAATCGCTCCAGTAACGCTGCACTGTAACATGGGAGCTTCCGAAAATAGGGGACTCTAATATGGTACCCCAAATAGTAGGATCCTAATTATAGGGACCCCAAAATAAGGTACCCCTAATTTTCAGCAACTCCCACATGAACCTTCTCGGTCCCGAGAGAGCCGTGCGATGAAGACATCGGGCCAGGCCCACGGTGCTGATCAACGCGCCGGGGGGCCGAGAGAGTCCGCTAGTTTAGCGTTGGGGCCGTTGTTTTTTTTTTTCTTCTTTGCTTAGGGCTTGGGTTTTGGGGTTTTAGGGGTTAAGGGGTTAGGGTTCTGAATCACATATCGTCCCTGCCTGTATAGCTACACCATTGCCTGTATAATTACACCATCGCTTACCCCCTTACAATCCCGATACTGTTATACTATACTAGCCCTTATTGTGTGGTACTATTTTTTGTTATTTCCCTTGGTAATTATACCATTCGGCCTCGTGGGCGGTTTTTGGGTTTCGTGTTCACTTCCCCTCGGGTCATGCGGGGGTCCACTGCGAAGCCCCGAATCTCACTGTTCCCGAGGCATCCGACGTGCCGCCAGATCCCGGAGGAGAGATCCTGTGACTAGTAAGAGGTCCCTGAGAGTTGAGGGAGTTTGGGGAGTTTGGGGAGGTTTGGGGAGTTTGGGGAGGTTTGGGGGTTTGGGGTTCGAGCCTGGGCCATCCGCGTCAGGAGGCCAACGTTGTTGTGGCCGTGGGCTCCAACGACGAGGTCGGAGACTATACCCAGAATCCCAATGCAAATGAACTCATCAAACAAGCTAATTGTCGATCAGAAGCCGGGGACACGTGGAACGCTGATGTTGGTCTCCAAGAGGCATGCGACTCCGCCCCACAACATTCAGAGGGCCAAGCAAGGTTTTGAAGCTCTATGTTGATTAAGTTGGGATGTCAATGGAAAGGTCAGCGAAAAAGAAACAAACTTTGTAGAGTAGAACGTTGGTGGGGCAGTGCGTTGTGTCCCTCCGCAATTTCAATCTTCCGCGTCTGTGACCGGATCCGGTGGTACGCTGCCTGACCGGCCCGATTCCTGAAAAATGCAATGCTACTGGAGTATAGGTTGCGAAAGATTTCATGGCCATGGCCGCAGCGTTGTCATGCTTGTTGCAGGTTTTCTGTAGCTCAGGGCAAAGTCCCTGCGGAGATAGTTAGTTTGCTCAATGCTCGCACCCAAGGTCTTCACGGTTTGGATCGTGGGGCATCTTGTTTTCACCGTACAAGCCATCCGGCAAGAAGTGGACGCAACTTCGCAGAATTCTACAAGCACGTCCAGCCCAACCAACAACGAAAGCAGAATCGACAGTCAGCTCTCACCCATGCTGGCGACGGTCACGCTGCGACCTGAAGACACATCGCGTATTACGTTGGGCGACCGGGCACATGGGGGTACGATCATCCAATACGTCAACTGCTCATGCGCGCTTAAACCGCTCGAGGGGTCCCATCTGATGAAAATTGGCCCCACGGATGTAAGTAATCTGGCTTCTTTTTCAATTGCTCCATTATGGGCCAAACTGCTGAATCATTCAGGGGCCTATACGATTAGCGTCGAGCCACCAAGAAGTCGGTACGCTGACTATGCAAGAGTTGCTTCAGGATTTGCCCCTGCTCTCGTGGCACTCGTTCTAGCACTGTACGCGCTGCCCCTTGCTTTGCACCAGCTGTGGTGCCACACAGCGCTGTCACCAGTCTCACAAGCAGGAGGTTCTGAGGCTGCTTCCGAGGCAGGCGCGACAAGCAGCGTTGCTTCTTGGGTGCGACACAACAGCGCCATACCACTGGAGCAGGTGGAAGAGGAACTGCAGCTAAGCATGGAGCCAGCTCAGAAGATGCAAGACATCAGGTTCACAATGGTCATGGACAAGTGTTTCGCGGTGCAGCTGTCACTCCTCTACTTCACAGGCAAGTTTTTCGCCTCTGCCTTTTTCACATTACCGTTGGTGCAAATAGTGCCCAAGTTTGTGATCGTGACACTGATGGAGTCACTGCTCCAAGCAGTTAGCTGCGGTTGTGTGTTTCACGGCCTTAAGCAGACGGCAGCCAGTCCGCTTGCAAGGCCAGGTGCCAAATGCCCCACGAAGGTCAACATCAAGCTGGCCTCAGTTCTCAACGAGCAGCTTTTCAAGACGATGGTCGCATATGGTATTGTTCTGGCTAATATAATGATTGCGATACCGCGCCTCGCTGGCTTCCTCGTTGAGTTATCAAATTTGAAGAGGTTGGCACTTGAAGATTCAGCCTTTGTCATAAATGTGCTGAACGACTTCTTGCTGAAGATGCTCTTCTTCCGGTTCATGCTGGATGCGTCGCTGCAGGCTCGCATGGTGCGGTTACATGTGGAGGCCGCGCTGGACAAAGTACTTTCTGTGCATAAGCAAACTGGGACTGAAGCTACTCCAAGCCATGAGGGCCGAATTGACACCCAGAAGATGAAAACGCTTCACGCCTACATCGTCAAGCTCGTTATTGACGTTCTGCCCTGCTTAGCAACTATCGGCATGCCTGCAGCTGTTTTTGTTGTGTGCAGTTGGGTGAGCTACGTGCTGTTCGCTCTGAAGCTATTCAGCGGCAGCGCCATTTCCCAAATGGAATATGGGACGATACAAGCGATTCTTGTGGAGGCAGTGGCATTCGAGCTGCCTGCTGTTGCCTGTTTGTTCCCGTTAACAGCAGTGTCGGACGCCTGTGATGAGCTACGCATCAGACTGAACACACTGAGGGCAGTGAGTGGAGCTGATGACGACAAGCACATTCGAATGACTGAAGTATATATGCAGCAGGAGAACAATGGTCAGGGAATGGGATTTGTCATGTACGGCACCGGCATGGTCGTAAACAAAGGGATGCTAACATCGATGATGGTGAAGGTACTTGCTGGCTCGTCGGTGGCTCTCGGTTTCATCCAAAGCTTTTTTGGGATCAGTCTCTGAGAATAGCAGCATTCTGCAGAGACACCGATACACGCAAGCCACAGGATGGATGCCCATTTTGGGACATGGGACTTGGATTCCATAGAACCTGATGAGTTTGTTTCCGCGACGTGGTTAGGATGCTCACGATATCTTTGCAGACGTCGAGGCGCACACTCTTGCGAAACAATCGATGTCCGCGATCAGCCATCACTCGGAAAAAAGACACTTGCGATGATATTGGATACCGGCATGTTGCAGCTTCATCATTTACAAAACATTCTGCAGGAAACCCGGCAGGTTGAAGCCTCCGACCCGAGACCCCGCCCGCAAACACCTTCCATTCAGGGTTTGAAGGCCGAAAGCCTCTTCCTATACCCTAAACCCAAAGCCTTGAGCCCCAAACCCAAAGCCCAGCAGCCTTAAGACTACTGCATCCTACCCCCAAGCCCCTGTGAGCCCTGAGAATCTGAGAGGTCTACCCGGTGCAGCGGCCGGATCTCGAGGTCTCGGATCCCTGGTGTTTTGAACTCTATTTCACGCCCTTGCAGAAAGCCTATGACACCTTTATACAGAGCCTTGGGGAACCTTGTGCAGTCTGTAAGTCTCGCAACCCCGAGACCCTGGAGTGAAAGGGAACTGGAAGCACTGAAAGAAGCCGAACATCCGCGGCTGTCGGGTTGAGGGCACTAAGATCCTGCAATGCTCTGAGGGCTACTTGGGGTAGTGGGTGGTTCTTCAAGAGCTGCCAGCTTCAAAGGGTCTTTCGGGCTTGAGGGATTGCGGACCGACACGCAGGACCCCAAATTGCCCCAAGTTGCACAAAGTCCCAAGACCAGCTGGAATTTCCAAAGATCCCAGTGCCCCTTAGCCAAGCGAACACCCGGAGGCTTTGATGCACACCGGAGGGCAGAACAAGACGTTTTTGTACTGGACCGCAGACAGCGGGCGGCTGCCCTCAGGACTGTGGGGTGTGGCGTTTCGGACAGGGAATGACACCACGCATCCTCTTCTGGGACTCACCAGCGATTTCCTGAACCGAGGGCTCAAGATGCAGAAAAACACTCCCGGGTGTCAGGACAAAAGACCACGGCGAAAGATCTTCTGCAATCTCGAGTTGCGTGGTCTAGGTGTCAAGTTTTGTTGAGGGTTTCAAGTTTCCATGGCCAGGACAGATCTCGCGGCAAGGCGACACCCACAACCAGGAGCCTCCTCTGAGTACTGTAGTGCGTGCGCAGGTGGAAATAAGAGTTCTGACAATCAGTAATGTGAAACATGTTCGGATATACAAGAACTTTAAAAACTTGAGTTAGAAGTCGATTTTGATAAGCGGCTTTCTTGAAGTTGCTTTAAGGGTTATTCAGATCCCAAGTCCACCAGATCAGACACCGGCGTTCCGGCGTTATTCGAGCAGCCATATGTTTTTTTCTCCAAAATTTTTGGGGCAAATGCAGGAGAACATGTTCCTGGTAAGGGTCTTGGGGATGTTTGTTGATATGAGGTGAACCGTGCCCGGATCCGAAATGGCTTTGGGTTTACATCCGGAAGCTTGAACCTTAAACCCTAAACCCAAAGCCCTAAGCCCTAAACCCTGCACCCTAAGCCTAAGCTCCACAACAAAAACAGCCCTAAAGCTTAAATCCCCACAAAAAAGCCCTAATCCCTAAACCCTAAACCCTAAACCCTAAACCCTAAGCGTCCGAAGCCAGGAGTCTCTGCTCCACCACGACGTCCTCCCTCGGCTCATCGATGCGACCCTCTGCCGCTCCGATGGATGGTTTTCGGGTTCAGGGCCTTAAGGCTAGGGTTCAGGGTTCGGGGCTTAGGGTTCAGGGTTCAGGGCTTAGAGTTTAGGGTTCGGGGTTTGGGGTTCGGGGTTCAGGGTTTAAGGGTTATAAGGTTTATCAGGTTCGAGGTTTAGGGTTTTGTGTACAAGATAAAAGGTTCAGGGTTGAGGGCTCGTTGAAAAGTCGCCATAGTGGTGAGAGCAAGAGCTGCAGCGGGTAGGGTCGGGAGTGGCCGTGGCGTGGGAGGATGACAGGTTCAGGCGACGCACCTGGTCTTGTGCCGTCAAGTCCCTGGCTTCGAGTTCGATGCCCCAGCCTTAAACCTGCCCCGCTTCCCCCGCGACTGCTGCACTTGCAGTACTAGCACCTCCTCCTTCTAGCACTGCTACTGGCTACTTCTATCACCACCACGAGTTCAGTTCTTGGTACTCACCATCGTTTTGCTGCCACATCCGAGGCAAGGAGGGTCCAGAAATGCACTTTCATCGGACCTGGAAAGAGAGGCGCAATGGATAGCTCGATCACTTGTGTCCAGGCCGTTCATTTGCGGGGTGAAGTTCGCATAACTTTGTTTATGGGCCTGGCGTTTCCTTCTTAAATGCATTGTAGATGTAGCTGTTGTGGGGTGCTTTCGGGAGTCCGGGTCTGCAAACGCAACAGCAGCAAGACGCGGCCAACAGCGCCAGGAGCAACCCTTAGCTGCAACTTTACAATTAAGTTTCGTTTTTTGGGCTTAGGGCTTAGGGTTTGTTTAGTACCAGTTAGATTGCTGCGTCACCATGCGATCCAATTTTAGCAGTCGTCATTCTGCGAGTTGTTGCAGCCATGGCTGTTCGATGTTATGATTGCATGTGGGAGTCCCTAATAGCACCTATTCCTTCGGGGTGCTGTTGACAGGGTTATTGAAAGGATGTAAAGTTAAGTAATGTAACGTAGTAGCGGATTTGCCAGCAATATCACAAGCAAGCCACCTACTATATGATTGGGTTCTGCATGAAGCCTTATGTATGTGTATCTGTGTTTAGTTGCGCAGTTCCTTCTTTCTACCGAGCGCTACTATATGTCACCGAGTTACAGTGAAAGCACGACGAAGCACTGCAGTGCATGTTCACACGAGTCAGAAATGTTCAAAAGCATGATGTTCACGTCGTCTTGGAATTTTCCGAGTATGACTGCAGGCTTCACCGAGCAAAGCCGAACGTCGCATAGTGTACTTACAGATCGCAGGGTACATCAGCCAAACCTTAGCGAGCCTAATTTCACCTTCTACGATGCAGTAGAATTGCAGGAGGAGGTGTATTGAGGAAAGGTTTCGAGGAAGCGTTGTCATCGTCATCGACGACGTTGTCGTTTTCCCAGCAGCAGTCGACCTCACATTAAATATAATACAAGCACCTGAAGATGAAGAAGAAGATGATGATGACCTGTATCATGACCATGACCACGGTCGCAGCGGCGCTCGCCATCATGATTTTCGTCGCGACGGTCAAGATCATGCTGGCGCTGCTGACGGTTCTATCCAGTCTTATCATCCTTCTTTCGTTCTCGTCACCGTCACCACCATCCGCATGTTAGCCCGAATCCCAACATCGCACGTAATTGATGCAGACCGTGTAACTCGCCCTGCGAGGCTCTCTCGAGAGAGAAACAATGCCGAGCTGTGGCTAGGCACGTGGCCACCTGGTCTAGGAATAGACATGTGTATATACGTATTATATGGGTGGTTGTCAAAATTATGGTCCTTTTTTGAGTCCTCCATATAATATGGCACCGAATATTTAGGGCACCCAACAAGGGACCATAATTTTGATGACAACTACCCATATATGTATATATATATGGCACTACACAGACGTTCTTCTTTTTGTATGCATGTACAAAGAGAGGATAGATGGATGGATGGATAGATAGATACCGTAGATACACACACAAGTACTGATGCATATGTACATATATGTAGACACATCTGTTCACTCAGGTGTACACATATCAGTACATACACGGGTGTGTTCCAAAATGTATACACGGGTGTGTGTGCATATTTTTTTCACATATATTTAAGTATATTACAGATAGATATGTATATTGCATATAAGTATGCATGTCATGCCTATGTACCACGTACATATGTACCTGTAATTTACCATGCAGATATCTAGTCAGACAAATAATAGGAAACATGATATGTAGAGATATAGTTGTGCAAGTTGGTACATGTACACACAACTAGGTAGGGGACTGTAGGTGCGTAGGTGTGGGTACACTTCGGTATCTAGATGCATGGATATGTAGACACTCAGATGTATACACACACACACACACCTGCATGCACGAATTATGTATGTGATATACTTTAGGACGTGTTGTCATGTTGGTCATGTAGGTTACATGCGTTAGGTTGTGCATGTCATGTATTTCTTTATGTACCTATGATATGCAACTATGAGAACTTGTCTATGTATGTAGAATAACTACGTAAGTATAGACACTTGCGATACACAGACACGAACACATAAGTAGACAGACACACACAGAGACAAATAACACTCACATCATACTCACATGAACCAAATGTCTACGTAGCTATCCATGTAGATACATAGGTCGCTCAGTAGTGAACTACTTGAACAAATAGCAGAAGCAAAGACACAACTGTATGTGCTCTTTTATATCTATGTAAATGTGTGATGTGAGTGCGCGTGTGTGTGTGTGGGTGTGTTTGTTTGCTTTTGTTTGTTTTGTTTATTTGTTTATTCAATTGGGTTGTCTATTGTTGTGCGTATTTACTGGCTTGTTTGTTTTTATCGTTTGTTTTTTTGTTTGTTTTTGCATCGTCCGTACAAGTTCCATGCGAGAAGATAGCCTGCAATTGGCAGGCTGTAGCCGTGTCGGAATACCCCTGAATGGACCAGGCTACAGCCCCGAGCAGATCATGCGGCTATGGTCTACAAATGGCCATCAGAGTGGAAAGCATCTGCACGATGTGCCCATGGGAACGGAGGAGTACAGGATGGTCAATGCCGCTTTTAAGGCACCCGACCTCTGTCATCACGGTTCTAAGGGTTTGGGGATTGCATCTCTTTTTCGAGTCTTTTTGCAAGGGCTGTGACTGTGAGTTTCGCCCCTGCGCGCACGGTGCCAAGATGTTTTGTGATCGCTCAGCCAGGCGTTGCCGATAGAGCAGCAGGCCGGTGGGTACTCGTTGCGGAGGATTTACACATAAACGGCGTATGAGGCCGTACACAGCCCTGTGCTTCGGAGTCTTGCACAGCATCAGCTTGACAACAAGTCCTGCACAGCTTCGGCACCCCGTCGAATATCAAAACCTCTTGTCGGAGTTCAATGACTACCGCGCCCGAGAATGCCGAATCGAACTCGGGGCTCGATGCGGGTCAGGGGACTTGGTGAAAAGGTTGCATCTCTGCCCCCATGCCCATGGTAGCTGCTTTCGACGTCATATCGACCTGCAGGATGAACACACTCAGGGGTTGAAGCGGTATGGTTGATGCTGACTTGCAGTTGAATACTGGCATGCGCCGGACCCTCATAAAACTACCTCAGACCCCCGAGCCCCAAAAGCCCATAGCCCGAGCCAGGCCTACATCCTCTCGCCTCCAGAGACCTGGGCACCTGTGCGAGCTTTACGGGCCTGGAACCCTGGGGTATGTCACGCGCGCGCGTGTGTACGGACACAGGCGCACATGCACGTACACGTAATACATGCGCATGTATAGCGCCTGTAGTGCATGTGCACACATCTAGATATGTTGCAGGAGTAAACCCATAGCCATCGTTGGTGAGTAAGTATACATGCACCGCACCTATCTATCTAGATACCTATGTATCCATCTATCGATCCAGCTATCTATCTAGCGGTCTATCTTTCTATTTGCCTATCTCTCGGTCTGTCTGTCTATCTATCCATCCCATCTGAATACGCTATCTAACTTATCTGGCCTGTCTATCTGTCTACAAAGCGACCTTACATCTCTCTATCCCTCTGTCTGTCAGTCAGTCAGTCTATCTATCTGTCTGTCTATCTGTCGATTATGTACCTGTCTACCCATCCATCCCCGTCTCTGGCTTTCTCTATCTCTCTCTCTCTCTCTGTCTGTCTGTGTGTATTTATGTATATATATATATATATATATATATATGTATGTATATATGCCCACATACACGTACATGTTTGTGTATGTTTGTAGGAACGAAGGATGGTTCAGGCCCCTTGTGACCTCGCCCCTGCGCTGCTCAGATCCAGCGCGTGGAGAACGGGCCACAGGGCGATGCCTCCTGGAAGCCCTACTACAAGTCGCTCCTGCGGTGCGGGCCTTAAGGGACTACTCTGAGGGGCCTTAAGGGACGATCATAGCTGGTTGTAGTTCCCGGGGGGGGGGCGGGGGAAAGAGTTGACATTCTTCTGCGCAGATGGCCTTTTTTTGTATTCTCTGTTCCGGCCGCTGTTCAGTGCAACAGCCGAGAGGTCTTTGGAAGACCAGGGCGTTGAGTTCGAGCCCGGCACCCACACGCCGGAGCCCCAGCTTTGTGGGAAGAAGTCCCAAAGTCTGAGATGCGTTGAGAAGGTTGGGATCTGAGGCTGCTGATTAGAGATTCGATATCAGAGAGTACATTTGTGTGTTGGCAGGATTGAACAACAAATTAGGTCGATCACTACAGCGAAGGTGGAGAAGAAACAAAGCAGCAGTAGTCAGTAGTGGTAGTGATGGTGGAATATTTGCAGTTGTCGCGGTATTCGCAGTAGCAGTAGCAGGAGCAGGAGGAACCGGAGTCGTAGTATTAACTTGGTGGTAGTGGTAGAACCCTGAAGCTTTGATTCTGAAGTCTTCTGCGTGCCCAGGTGTTGGGCCTTTCACGGTTGCAACAACGAGGCCTTGGAGCAAGGGGACCCAGAGGCAGGTTCTTGTCCTTTTTTGTTAGGAGATGGTAGGATGTGTAGTTCTGTTGATGTCATCGTTTCCACGAGTCCAAACTGACGACAAGAGCAACGAAAACAAAAGCATGAACCACACCACCAACAACAGCAACACTACACAAGCAACGAACTTTCTTCCAAATACTCCACCTCCAACAACCACAACAGCTACAACTACGACTACAACCATTGCTATCACTGCTGCTGCTCCACTGCCACCGCCACTGCCACCGCCGCTGGCACCTCTGCTGCTGCTGCTGCTGCTGCTGCTGCTGCTGGAAGCCATTCTCCTGATAGCCCAATAGCCAAGTAAGACGTCTGAACATCCCGACCCACGGCAGGTGCTTCGTTGACTTGGAAGTTCAGTGTTCGAAGCATAATCCCTTCCCAAGGGAAGGCTCGAAATCCAGCTGCTTTGCCTTTCATGTCGTTTACTGCCCTCCGGAAACGGATACCTCGCCTGGATCTGTCCGAGAGAGAGAGAGTCCGAATCCGTCGTCTCCCTCCGAGGTCGATCGTGAACAACCCGGTGCCCTGGCATTGACGACCATGGACGACTGCAGATGTGCAGGTGATGCGCAGGAACGATTTTGCTGCCCCAAGCATGCCTCCAGCTCCGTAAGCACGAAAGCCCCAAGCTGCTCCGGACCAAAAAGAGTCTGAGCCCAGGTGTGTGGTTTCCAGCCCTTGGCTTCTGGACCGCCCGGTGCTTTCAAGGGATCACCACCATATTAGCCAGATGCCCGCAGCACCATGACCACAACAGTCGTCGTGACCCTCCTCCTCCTCCTCCTCCTCCTCATCCGCTGGACTCCTTTTCTCAACTCTGGCGGCAGGAACTCGCAGCACAACGCTGTGGGGATCTGGGACATACTTCGCACAGAGCTCAGATATCGCATACCAACGGGGTCGACGCTTACAGTTCCGGAGGGCATTTCAGGTTTCGCAGCATGTACTGGGATAAAGAGACTGTCATGGGGTATTGCTTGCCATACTACGCATGAGAGCCTTTGAGGCCTCCGAACCCTTCGTTCGAAACGGCCAAGGCCCGGGACGCCAAGTACGTGGCCGACGGGGGCTTCTGCGGTGCCCCCAACGCCGATGGCACGCGGAGGATCGGAGCCTGTGCCCCTCGCACCAGCTGTTGGCGTTGAGGAAGTGGGCTTTTGGATGGCTGTCGGGGTGTTCGGGTTGGGGGGGGGGCTCTCGATGAGTTTGAATGTCGGGTGTATACCTGCGGTTGCTATCATACTTCTGCTTCGCAAGCTCTAATGCCGAAACTATCCTACGGGGAGATGGCGTTTTAAGTCGCAAATGTCGCCAGTCGAAAAACAATGACGAAGGCCCAGGCCCCGGACAGTCCCAGGAGCCTTAAACCCCATACAACCCTAAGGAACCGCCCTCATATCCTTCTCGGTGCATCATAGAAGTGCCGTAGACTGCTGGAACATACCCTTAAGACACAGCCCCCTAAACACTAGACCGTAAACCCCAAAACCCTAAACCTTAACCCCGCCTGAGAGGATGCTCATGTGCCTACTCATCATGGGCATCTCCTGCCTTGGTGACCCGGCGCACAAGGCGCCACGAGGTTTAGGGGTTTGGGGGATAGGGTGTGGGGCTCGTGTGGACTTGTGGTATTTTGGAACCCAACTCCCCCCCCTCCTGTGCGTCTTCGTTTCCGTCACGATCATGAGCTTGACGCTTCTACCCCCAACATCCCCAGAAAGCACCCGAAGCGCCAGCAAACGCCAGTGCAGGGCGTCCTCCCCTTCAGGCACAAGCCGCCGCCGGGGGGCCTGGATGGTCTGAATGCAGCGGTAGGTTAGGGTTCGTGGTGATGGTGTAAAGACAGTCTGCGGTCTGTTCACTTCAGAAGTGGTTTCGCCACGGAGATTCAGTTTGGGCAGCATGCTGCGCTGTAGTGCATCGCCGTAGAGCCAATTTCGCCGCCCTCATTCTTCAATCCAGAATGCAGCGCCCCTGGATGCAGACTCAAAAGCCGTAGCTCTTCACCATAATATGGGGGACTCTACTATTCTGGGGGTTCCAAAATATATTCATAGTATAAGGGGCCCCGAAACCCTTTTCTAATGATTCAGGCCCCTATAGTACATCAAGCCATAAGCCCCAATGTCCAAGAAGCCTGAAATCCAGCTCAATGCACCCAGGCATCGCTACAACAGCTCAGTGGACTGCTTGGCGAGCCCCGAGGTCATGGTGGCCCGGCACTCGGACGCTTCAGGTCTTCAGATTTGGGATCGGCAGGAACGCTGCCAGGAAGCCGTGCATGAGCAGAACGAATTGGAGCCCTGGAACCGAATTGGAGCCCTAGAAGCCTCAAGCCGTTTCAGTGTAAGTTAAGCCCTAAGCTCCAAATCCTAAACCCTTACCCCTGGAGCACGAAGCCGCGGCTGCCAAGATCCAACAGTCGGGTGCCGCCATGCCGGCTTACGTCCGGCTCCCTGTGCTGTTTTTGAGTCTTCCAGGGGGCTTCCTGCTTCGCCTGTCATACGGCGCGGCTTCAGTGACTTATGCGCTAACTAATGCGCGGTCGAGCCGGGCATTTCCTGTCTACACGGAACCTTGTTTTTCACCTGGCTTCCTACATGTTTGGAAAGCAAATTCAGCCAGTGGGTTGGACTATTTCTACAGGCACGTTTCTTGTAGTTGCCGTTGTTACCACGCTGCTACTGCAGCTGCTGGTGCGGTTGCTGTTACCGCCGTTGCTGCTGTTGTTGCTGCTACCGTTGTGGGTGCTCATGACGACCTGGACGGTACATGCCAGAAGAAGTTTACTGCAGTTCCAAACTCCCTTACTCTCCCCTGCCTTCCCCTGCCGGAAGCATGTTCGCTGAGATGTTGATCACCTCGCTTCACCATGGGAGTGCCCGGAGTCGTCAGCGTGCTCAACCATGTTATGAAGAGTCCCAAACTATTACTATGATTATTATGATTATTATTGCTAGCATTACTATTATTACCACTATTACTATTATTACTATTATGACTATTGTTACCCTAAACTGCGCTCTAAACTCCTTCCTATTTAGCCCTCATCTCTCTGTGCCAAGGTCATCACTTTTGCCTGAAGCTCCGGGCTGCCAAGGGTTTCCCGTGCACCCGGTCTGGACCCGAAGCACCCGCCCCCCAAAAATTTGGGTGGTTGTCAAAATTAGGGTCCCTGTTTGGGTCCCTATTATAATACGGCACCTGTGATTTTTGGGTACCCAAAAGGGACCCTACTTTTGACAACCACCCATCTAAAGGCTCAAGACTGCCCAAGTCGCCCTGCGAGCCGAAACCCTCGAGGTTTAGCGGGCATCCTCTGTAGTGCTCGCAGGGTGGGGTTTGCCTCCGCTTCCTCCCAGCTCTCAGCACACGGGCAATGGCGCTCTTGGAGCTAAAAGAGCAGTTGCGGACACTGTTCAAGAGTGACATTTCCCCTCCACCCCCACCCGGAAGCCCCAAACGCAAACCCTCAACCCCGAAGCGCACCCTAAACCCCTAAACCCCTAAACCCCTAAACCCTAAGCCCCTAACCCCCAAACCCTCAACCCCTCCAGCCGGACCATGTCCGTTTCCGGGACCGGCAGCCCGGTCAAGACCGCCGTTTCACGCCGACGAAGGGCTCCACGTTGTGCGGGCGGAGGGCAAAGGGTTGAGGCGTAAGTTTAGGATTCAGGATTCAGGTCATAATTGATGCTGCCGGCTTTTGGGGCTTTTTTGATTAAGCTCTTGCCGAAATTCGGTGTGGGCATGTTTACAATTGTAAGCTGCTTTTGCACTTCAGTGACTAGAAGCATTCCGAAACATAGGTAAATTTGCTGCCTCCAAGACTAGAGGAAGACCTGCCTGTGGGCGGAGGCTTCAGACCCATGGCCTTTTCGGGAGTTTCTCTCAGAAGAAGCAGATGCACTGAGCCCCAAAGTCATAAAGCTTTCGCCATGTTCCCATAGTCCTGAGATGATACCCGGTTCAAGCCGGGGGATGTGTTCTTGCCAATGTCTCAGAGCTCAAACAGAGAGGCCTTCGGCGACCCGCATGGGACGTTTTGCGAATTTGGGCAGCTGCCATGCGATGTCTGGGCTACAAAGAGCTTGACCCTGCTGGCGGCCCCAGTTGCACAGTCAACTTGGGCAGTCAACCCCCGCAGCCCTCCACGCTTTGACTTAACTCCTGAGCCCCGTGCTGTAGGGTTGAGATGGCAGTGGCATGTCCGCGGTACTTTTCCGTCCAGGTGATGGTCTCTAGTAGAATGTCCTTTAGATCGTAGCCTACCTGATCATACTTTTCGGTTCGAGAACGGCGAGGCTCTTGGTCATGGACAAAAGTGCCGTAAAGCTAAGCCGATGGCAGATCGCACTGTTTCAGCATCTGTAGCTAAATAATCTGGAAGAGAAGCGACTAGTGAAACGCAAAAGTGGAAGTCGACTAGTGACCAGCTTTCGCCATCACCATGGACCACCATCACCGACACCGTCAGCGTCATGAGCATCATCATCGTCATCATGACCGTCGTCATCACCATCATCATCAACCGTCATCATGCAGACCGTCATTGCCACGGCCAGCGACAGCAGCATCAACATCGCTGCTGCCGCCATCATCGCCGCCATCATCGCCATCATCGTCGCCATCATCTTCTAAGAGAACCTAGGGTCGACTGCCCTTGTTATTTGGTTTGCCCGGGTCTTTCGCTTCGACCCTCCGCCGGGGTGGCAGCAGAGACAAGGCCTCAGCCGGCGCGGGCCTCAGAGAGGTCTTGAACCACTGCTATTCACATTCATTATTCTTGACATTTTTGTTTTTTTACCGAAGTGCTACGACTGCAACAAGAAGAAGAACAACAACAACAACAACAACAACTACTACTACTACTACTACTACTACTACTACTACTACTACTACTACTGCGACGACGACTACTACAACTACAACAACGACAACAACATCAACAACAACGCTCCGGCTGCTCCTGCTGCTCCTGCTTCTGCTCCGGCTACTGCCCTGCCCCTGCTCCTGCTGCTGCTGCTGCTGGTGCTGCTACTGCTTCTGATACTGCTACTGACAGTGTCAGTGCCCATGTTTTCAATCAATATCGTTGTCGCGGCAACGTTAATGCTTGTAGCAACACTGGCAGTTTCACAGGCAAACGTGGCTAGGTCGAGGTCAGAACCCCAAACCCCCCTTGAGCCCCAACCCCTGAAGCCCCAGCACTGACCCAGGCAGGAGCGGCTTAGCGGAAGAGCCGCAGACTTGTCCTCCGGCCTGGATGGCACTGACCTGAACAAACATTACATTTGGATATATACACACATACACATATTGTCCCTATGCATGTATGTATGTAAATAATGGATGTATGTATGCATGTATAAATGTATATGTGTGTATCGAAATCTATGTTCATGTAGGTCCATGTCTATGTCCGTGTATGCATGTAGGTATATGTTCATGTGTATGTATGTGTATGTATGTGCGTGTACGTGTATGTATGTGTATGTATGATGTATGTGTATGCATGTGTATGTATGTGTATGCATGTGTATTTGTGTATGTGCATGTGTGTATGTATGTATGTATGTATGTGAATGTGTGTGTATGTGTGTGTATGTACGTACGTATGTGTATGTATGTATGCATGTATGTGTATGTGTAGGTGTCTGTGTATGCATGTGTACATGTAGATGTAGATGCAGATGCAGCCGTCGATGTAGATGTGTAGATGTTTACTTGTATACAAAGTGTGCATGCCTGTATACATATGTGTGTATACATACATACATACATGCGTTTATGTGTGTGTATATATATATATATATATACACATATTTACATACATATGTATGTCTATTTGTACATATATACACACGTATGTACATGCATATATAGATACACACACATATATATATATGTGTACATGTATACATATATATATATATATATATATATACACACATGTGCCTGAGTGGGCGTTTAGGTTTGGGATTTGTTTCCTCGTCACCATCGAGTTCGGCAGCCTGTGACAGGCTTTGCTATTTTGGGATCTCAGAGTTCAAGCGGTTTGGCATCGCAGGTCTTGAAACATGGAGAGCTTAGTCCAACTGCTTGTTTAGGAGTCGTGCGATCCGGTGGAGACAGTTGCCCTGGGACTCAACGGACAAAGGAAACCCCGTCACTGTCAGTGAAACAGAGGGAGCAAGTTCAATTTGTAAGGCTTGCTTGGCTTGGTGTATGGTCGGCTTTAGTAAGTCTCAGACAGCGTTTCCGGACAGTCCTGACCTCACCAAGAGATTCTTGAGACCTGGCCCGAACCAGAGAAGCGTGTCGTGTTAAGTTTCCTTTGCGCGTCGATGTCTCGGTGCCGACGGAGCATTTATCAAAACCTGGCTTCTGTAGGCGTTTCAGGATATTTCTGCCATTCAGGGCAGCCGGTGAGCCAGCTTGATCGATGCTCCATAGGTTCACAGAGTTCACATGTGGATGACCACATGTGGAGCCCAGACCCTAGATGGGCCTGCGTGGGGAAAAGAGGCGGCCCGTGGGTTCTTCGGTTTTTGTGGTAAGGAAGAGGTTTTAAGTTGGCTACAGCCCAAAAACCACAAAGAAATAAACTTGGGTAAGACGATGAACGCTGGCTTGGTCAGTCGTGTGGGAGGATGCCTTCTTGTGAGATGGTTGCATCATGCAGCAGGCTAGCATGAATCACCAGATCAATCCCTTGACCATTCAATGTGTGCATGCTGTTGTTCGTAGACGACTGGGTCTAGGCGGAGTCGGTCCGGTCCTAGATCGACTCCTGTACCCGTGATGTGCGCCAACTATAACTATTATAACTATTTTGGCAACTTGGCCTTCTGCGCCTACTACCGTCTCTCGTGCGACCTGTGTCCTGTGTCCATGCGTGTTTGGCCGAAAGGCCGGTGCGCGGGCGCGCCGACGCATTCATGGTAGTGGTGGGCTTAGTCGGTACCGTCAGCCATACACCGACATGGCAGTGTAGGTTGCGAGTTTGCGAAGCCCATGCGGGCAGTCACCCAGGGCTGCTTCGGTTGCTTGCTGCTGTCGAGCACTGACAGGTCCGGCCGTTCGGGACGAGCTTCGTGCACTCCTGCGCCGCCGCCTCCGGTCCTGTGGCTCCGCAACGGCTTGCGGGCGCTGCTGGGGCCGACCCGGCGGAAGCCAAAGCCAAACCGCATCAAACCGCCGAATGCTGCAGGTCGTCAACGGCTCTTGCACGCAAGCGGAGGCCGAGGCTCCCACACGGCTAGGCCGTGAGAGCAGCTTCTGGAGGCATCGTGTGCTGCTGACTTTGCCGCGAGGCGCACATGGCCCCATGGCGAGCAGCCGCCACACACATTGCAGGTCGAGTAACGGGGAGTCGCATCAACTGACGTTCGTCGAGCATGCGCTATCATGCGCTGCTGTCCCCAAGCGCCCCCAAGCGGGAGGCGAAACACATCCACGGTGCAGAGGCTGCCCAACTACTCGGCTTCCGGCGCGCCAGCGAGCCGAAGCAGTGCCTGCCCACCTCCGCCCGACCGGATCAACGCCTGGGTAGCGCACTGGTCTGGCCTCCTTGCAGTAGCAGCGAGCGTACGCCGCCTCGCTGCTCGAGTTCCCTCCTGCTGCCGAGCTCAGCGAAGGCACTGAGTCCGACCTGCATGAGGTCCTCGCTGACACCAGGTGGCTGGAAGAGGTCCCGGCTAGCCGCCTGCCCCCGCGCTAGCCGTGTGATGCCCCGAGACAATCCTCTTTTGGTAGGCGACGGTAGACTCTGAAACCAGATCGACCGGACATGTCCTGCTGTCGCAAAAATGTGCCAAAAACAAAAACAAAGAAGCCTTGGCCTTCGTGGATGAAGCATACATCCTGGCTCCACCTCACCGTGCGTTCCAGCTCTACCACCGGTTCGGAGGCATGCAATGCATCGTGCTCAAGTCTGCCTGAACCCTGGTAGGGCCCGCGTTTGGAACAGCGCCGGGGTCCAGCCTGATGGTGTTGATTTGTTGGCGCCCGATACCGACATTTTGGTCGGCAACCCTGCCTTGGATTCCGCCCAGCGTGGCTTTGTGGCACTTGGTGTACCCCTTGCCACACCGGAGTTCGTTGCTGCATTCCTTGAGGCCTTGCTTGCCAAACAGAGGGTATCAGAACGTTCTCCTCGACCGCTTGATGCTCCTTGCCGACACTCAGGTTGCGTGGCTGTTGTTGTGTTCCTGTGCTGCCCTGGTGCACAGTACGCGCTGCGTGCACTGCCCCCGGAGGATGTACGAGCGTACGCCGCTGGTAACCATATCGTGCTCAACCACGACGCTGCCGGCCCGTACTTCGCGGCGTTGCATACGCAAGGTCTGCCTACAAACAACACTGCTGGATTTGGATTTGTGGAGCAAACGTCCTGCAAGACATCTATAGCCGCAAGCGTTGTGCTCACGAAATTGTCTGCTTCTTGTGCATCCAGCTTGACCATCAATACCCTTTCCAGATCTTTTTGTTGTGCGGTGGACAGCGCTGTGGATTCCAAACGCGAGACCCTTTCTTCAAGCTTCAACATCGCTGATGTTTCAACTTGAACCTCTTCCTGTAGCTGAACTATTGTGTCATCCCAATTGCGTAACATTGATGATTCAAACTCTGCAAGTTCTTCCCGCACCATTCCCCGACTGCCGCGTTTGCGTTGTTGCGCTGGTCTGCGCTCCTGGCTTTTGCGGCCGCGCGGACCTTTGCAGCCAGCCTCCTTTCCCTTCCCTTGTCCGGCACCGCCAACGCTGATGGAGACATGCCGCTCCTCAGCGACGTCTTGGCTGACTCTTCCGAGCAGCTGCCCCTTGCCAGCCGCATGCCGTAGTCTGTTGCTTGGACTTTGGGCATGTGCACTGGGACCGCGGAGTGGACGGACGCAAAAGAGGTGTGTGGGGGAAAAAAATTTACCGCAAAACCAACAAATTGGCGAGCCACTCGTTTCGACCCTGTTGGTGCTCATGTCCGGGCATGCTGCAGATTCTGCAGGCAACTGCCAAAATGTTGTATCTTTGGCTTGGATGTTGGATGGAGCTGAGGCTTCGTAGGGGTGCCTTTTTATTGCCGCCCGCGCGGGTGAAAAGTTGCAAAGACCCGTCAAAAAATGGTTTCGAAATATGAATTCAAATCCTGCCGCGCGGAGTGCGTGCGGGGCCTGGTGAGCTTTCCACCGGACGAGGTCCCGCACGAAAGCGCGCGCCTGGTCGGTCCAGCGTCCGCCCACCTCCGAGCCCATCACGACGAGCTGCCAGTCAAGGGGCCAGAATTAAAATAAACAAAAAAAATCTAGTCCAGATATCTTCGGTTGGCACTAGCGGGCCCAGGGACCACACTCAGTTGTATTACTGTTGCTTGGACGAATTGTCCACAGGCTGCACCCCACCTCCTGGGAGCCGCACAAGCTCGTTTCACAACAGCCAGCAAAAACAGAATACTTATGAACCCTTCCCCGGTTTTCATTTTGCCTTGGGCCGCGGGTTACACGGGTCGGAGGACCGGGGCCGCTGCCTAAGAAAAATTGCCGCGGTTAGGAAATGTCTGGAGAAAAAAAATTGGACTCGCTTTTAGGCGTGCGATGGCGTGCGGGTTTAGGATATGTCACGATGGGCACGCGTTCAATGACAAGTGCGAGGAACTGCTATCGTCCGCACAAAACGCGAAAAGGAAGGCGGCCAAGGCAGGTTCCCCCGCCCCGAGCATATCGGAGCTGGGCGATGCGGTCTGGCGAGGCAACAAGCCGCCGGCCGAAAGTCCTCGGCAAGCCCATCGGGCACACCGACTTCGTCAGCCAGTGGGCGGCGGAATGCATGTCGGAAGAACGCTGCTTCCTACGACAGTTGCCCTTGCTCCGGGACCTGCAGTGCAGTTGGTTCCTGCTCTCCATGTGCGCGGCCCCCCGGCGAACCACGCGATTCGCACGCTGCCCCCGTCCGCATCGCGAGGTTACGCGCAAGCGCATGATGCGGGCATCTGGGAGGTTTTGCGGTTTTGTAGGAGCGTCGACGAGGCGTTGATTTGCACAACACAACGCATGGTCCATCGCCACCTTGCCTGCCGTCCACGGCGGACTGGGCTTGCAATCCGCAGAGTGAACAGCCTTCGCGGCGTACTGCGGCCTGGGCGGATGTGCTGCACGTGATCCACGCTCACGCGCTCGCTGCGCCGGGGACTGGCCACATGGTTGGCAGATGCACGCTTCGCACACACGCAACACCCATTTTCGCGAGCGCGTGCTGCTGCCGGACATGTCGCCCAGTTCTCAAGCATTGCTGCAGTCCCAGGCCGGGGCCCACGCAGGCGCTTGGCTCGCCGCGATCCCAACAGTGCCGGCCACATCGCTTGCCGCGAAGAAAATCGCGTTGCGACGCTGGTTTCGGCAGCCGCTGCCTCTGCGAGGGAGCGCTTGCGGCCCGAACCCTGGGTGCAGCGCAGCAGTCGATGCTTTACGCGACCACATGCTTGCCTGCCCTCGCACAGGCCTGCTGGCCAGGCGAGCCAAGCTGTGAGAGCGAGCGTGCGGGTCCGCGTCGCAAGAGAAGCTAACAATCTTTTTGACTAGACCTAGACCCCCGTTTTACCTTTGAAACCTGTATCTGCTAAGAGCAGATTGGACAATCATGAGCGATCGTACCGAAGGCTCAAGGTTGCACAAAAGAGTGAGACCGCAAGTTTTGGTTTGGGTTTTTATTGTAGCGGAGCCTACCGATCCATTCCTTTGAGTCTGGACGAAAGGCCTTCGCTGCGGACGGGACCCAGATCCGCTGGTTGGTTGGTTAGTGGTGGTGCGGTCGGAGCTCAGGCCTTCCTGGGCGACTGAGAGCGGACAGGACCCAGATCCGCAGTGAACTTTAGAGCCGTAGCCCTCGTGGTAGATCCGAGCCTGCCTTGAGCAGCATAGTTCCGCCTCCGCGCTGTGCCGCCAGCGCTTGGGCAGCTGTCGTGCGCTGTGGGCTTTCTTGAGCCTTGGGCGGCTGCGGGATGGCTTCGCCTACAGCGGGAGCAAGTGAAGCTCCTCAAGGGGGACAAAGCCCTGGTGGAGCTAGCGAACAGCGTGTTCTGACAGGCGAAGTGGTGCTGAACCAGTTGGCAGCTGCCGTGGCGCAGCTGGCTCAGGCGACTACCTCGAGCGGTCAAAGGCTCGAGCCAGTGGAAGGAGACGAAGTATGTGAAGGCCCCGGACCTCTTCAATCCGAACTCTTTGGAAGAGGAGGCTGCTCAGTGGGGCGATTGGTCGTTCCACTTCCGCAACTTCATGACGATTCAGGACTCAGGCTACCGTTCCGACTTTGAGAAGTGCGAGTCCGCCAGCAGCTTTGTCAACTTTGCTGATTATGCTGCTGATGTGAAGGAGAGAGCCCTTCGGCTCTACTCTGTGTTGGCGAGCTACCTCCGGGGTCGCCCGCTAAAGCTGCTTCGTGCTAACAAGAATGGAGACGGCTATGCAGTTTGGAGGCAGCTTTGTGACGAACTACAACCACGCTCGCGCCCTCGTGCTTTGGCTTTGGCGCAAGCGCTGTCGCGCTTCCCACCGCACAAGGAGGGCACTTCTCTCTTAGAGTACATCTTGGGCTACGAACGGCTCATTGCGGAGTACGAGGCTGTGGCGACGCAGAAGTACCAGGAGGACCTCAAGATCTCGACGCTCCTTGCTGGCTTGCCTCAGGAGGTCAAGCGCTACATGTACCTTCAGGTCAACAACTCCACGACCTACTTGGGCTTGAGGGAGAAGCTGTTGCAGTACGAGCGGACGTCTTCTACGTGGACGGCAGAGAGTATGCTGAAGTCCCTCGGCGGCGGCTTCAACACTGACGCGATGGATGTGGATCGTGTTGCCGATGCTAAAGGCAAGGGCGGCAAGAAAGGCGATAAAGGACCGAAGGGCAAACACGGCAAAGGCGACTACGGCAAGAAGGGCGAGTACGGCAAGAAGGGAAATGAGAAAGGCTGGCACCGTGATGGTGGCAAAGGCTATGGCAAGGGCTCACCGAAAGGTGGGAAAGGCAAGAAAGGAGATCCTGGGAAGAAGGGCTCTCCTAAAGGCTCTTTGTCTTTGGTGGAGTGCTGGAAGTGTGGCAAGCGAGGACACTACGCAGCAGAGTGCCGATCGAGAGTCAACCAGGTGAACCAGGATGACGACGCAGCTTCAGTGCAGACGAGGGCAACGACTTCTTCTGCCACAACAGCAAGCACAGCCGCTCCTGCGGCAAAGGCGCAAGTTCGTCGAGTACATGTGGTGGACCTCGAGCGGCTTGATGAGGACCAGGTGCTCGGTGTTGAGTTTTTGGGCTCTGTGCGTATGGTGCAAGAAGTTGACAGTGATGCCGAAGACGAGCTTTCTTGCAGCAGTGTCCAGTGCTTCACCATAGGCAGCGACAATGAGAGTGAGTTTTCTTTTGAGCTTTGCAGTTCCCTTGACCTGACGGCAGATGATAGTGGTGAGCTTGAGGCTGAGAGTGCTTTCCATGTTCGTGCTGTTGCTGCTGACCCCAATTTGCATGAAGTGATTTTGGACAGTGGAGCCGATTGCACCGTCTTGCCACTCAGCTCGTTTGCAGACGTCGGCCAGCACAGTCGTGAGAGCTCGTTCCTGCTAGATGCGCAGGGCAACAGGATTCCGCAAGGCCAGGTCCGAACGTCTGTGGTTTTCGAGGTTGAGGGTATCGATGGTGAGATCATTCAATTTCGCGACAAGGCAGTGCTAGCGCAGGTTCGGCAGCCGTTGTTTTGCTTCGGGAAGTTGCTTCGTGATCAGTGGTTGCCCGAGCTGAATCCTCAACAGGGCTGGTGCCTCAGAAAGGGCGAACGGTCCTTCGGAGTGCACTGGAGCAAGAACTCTCTTGCCACTTACATGAGGATCCTGAGGGCCGACGGAGAGTGCGCCAAGTCGGCTCACGAGCCGGCGTCTCCACAGGCACCCCCGGCCATGGCAGTGAGGTTGGTGGTCGAGATCTCTGACGATTTGGAGATTCATGCGCAGGCCCCAGGCTGGAGCTTGAATTCTAGCATGCAGCCAGTGCACATGGGAACAAACATGGAAACCACCTTTGATGGCTCTGGTCGCTTTAGTTGCTCAGATTGGCCGTTTAGGACCACACTTCTTTGCCGTGGTGATCGCAAAAATGAAGTCTTTGAGTGCTGTGAAGTTTGGGAAGATCGTCTTGAGTTTGGTTTCGGTGCCTGTGAAAGCAAGGTGTTGACTATCCTCACAAAGGAAGCTATAGAGCCCAATGACCTCGGTAAAGCACTTCAGCAAGATCCTGCTCCACGTGGCGAACGCTCCTTTGATGAACCTCCCAATGAACCCTTGCAAGCCCCAGGTCTTGAGCCCGATGAGCCAGCAGACGGAGCAGCTGGCGATCCTGAACGAGACGGCCGCGGAGGAGAGGTTGCAATGCTAGGGCCTTCTCCGGTTGAAGTTCTTGGGGATGATGAAGAAGCTTTGGTGGTGAATGGCACGCGTCTAACTGAGATTAGTCCACTTCGTGAGCTTCGGCTTGGTTGCCGGTTCCTTGGCATCTCGAAGAACGGCTCAAAGTCAGCAGTGTGGCAGCGCTTGAAGAAGGAGGTAGCACACAGCAAGTTGCAGTTGGAGGTTGCAGCATCGGAAGCCGTGAGGGCAGAGTTTTCCCGAGATCCCATAGTTCAGGCACTCCCAGTTCCTCCAAGTCCCGAGCTAGTTGCACTACATGAAGTTACACATCTTCCTCGTGCTGATTGGTGTGAAGCTTGCATAGCAGCCCGGAGTCGTGAAGATAACTTTGAAGCAGCAGGCCCCAAACGTGAGTTCCCGGTGATCTCTCTGGATTTTATGTTTGTGAAGACTGACGGGGAAGAAGCACCTCTTGCCACTCACCTGGTGTGTGTGGACTCTCAATCCAAGTACGTGGTAGCAGTTGCACTTGCTTCCAAAGGAGGCAAAACCTTGAAACATGCTGTGGGAGAGGTTGTTGGCATGCTGACGGTTCTCGGCTATGCCAAGGTGATTCTAAGGTACGACACAGAACCATCCATGAAACAACTTGTGAACTCCATTGTTGCTGTGCGTGCAAAGAACAACTTGGCGACAGAGCTCGAACCCGTCGGGCCGGACTCCTGTGTACATGGGGCGCTCCGTTCTGAACGTTATCATCAGACTGTTCGCAACCTCGGCAACTGTCTCCTGAAAACAATAGAGCAACGGACAGGACACAAGGCCGAGACTTGGAGCCCGCTGCATTCCTGGGCGTTTGTGCATGCAGCCTTCCTGGTGACAAGGTTCCATGTTCACCGAGATGGGTGTACCTCCCATGAATTAGTACATGGACGGAAGTACGACCAGAAACTTTGCCCGTTTGGCTCTGCTGTTTATGCACAATTCCTTCCGAAGAACAAAAACAAGGGAGAAGTTTGGCGACAAGGTGTTTGGTTGGGCAGAGCAAGAATTGGGAATCTACATGTGATCGGTGGCAGTGCTGGCATTCACTTTGCCAGAACCATTCGGAGGCCTCCCAAGGCCTACGACTTGGAGCTTCTGAAGACCATGCGGGGGACTCCTTACGACTTCCTGCTGGATGTGGTGCCCGTGCGCAAGAAGAAGGTGGACAAGGATCGATTGCCGATCTTGGTGGAAGCTGCTCCTGGCCCTTTGCCTTCCGAGGCGGAGGCTGGGAACGCTGGTCCAGGAAATGAGGCTGCAAGTGAACCTACCTCCTCTGAGGCTGGGGGCGTTGGATCAATGAGCATGAGCTTGCCTGGTCAGTCTTCTGGGACGGGTTCTTCCTCTTCTACGGAGCTTATTCCTGATGCTATGGACGTTGAAGGCGGCGTCAACCAGGCCGCTGAGGATGAAGATGGCTTTGTTGTTTCGGCTGAGGGGGGACTCCCCACAGGCCACTTCGAGGAGGAAGGCTTCCATGGCGTTCCAGAAGATTGGAGCGACATCTTCGAGGAGACTTGGGAGATCGAGGGTGTCTTGCAGGAGGCGGAAAGACGCAAATACGAAGAAGGGCCTCCTGTGCTTGATGCCGACGCTCTTGCGGCATTGGATGCTGAGATGGATGAGGTGGAAATCCAGAGGCTCTTGGGAATGAAAGTCCTTGAAGAGATTGGCCCCGACGAGGACGTGAGTGACATGTACCGCTTAGGCTGCAAGAACGTTCGAGATTGGAGGTTTCGCAACGGCTGGGTGCGGCGATCACGCTTGGTTGCCAAAGAGTTTCGCTTTCTGCAGCCGTACATGGAGAACTTGTATAGCCGCTTAGCCCTGCTTCGCTGAGTTCTACACAAAAGTTGCTTGCAGGACTTTGTTGCTGTAATCCCCAACTTCGTTTGTACAGCGGTGACATCAAGGATGCATACCTCACTGTGAAGCAGAGACGGAAAACCTACATTGTCAGCAACAGTGGTCGCATGTACAGACTGCACTACAATCTGCCCGGACAAAGGGCAGGTGCTCGAGACTGGCATGAGAAGCTTAAGGCAGTGCTTGAAAGTGATGGTCTTCGTGCTTTTTAAGGTGCCCCAGCCCTCTTCTATGAGCCCCAGAGTTTGATCGTTTCCACACATGTTGATGACCTGCAAATGCTAGGACTTGATGCACGGGTGCAGCGTCTGATCAAGAAGATCGATGAGGCAGATCTTCAGTTCGGTGTTGAGGGGCCGTGCACGCGTCGGGTGAGTGTCGCTTCTTGAAGCGGAAGTTCATGGGGGTCAACGGGAGCATTGTCATAGAGCAAGATGGGAAACACGTCGAGAAGCTGATCAACCTGGTCGGTGTCGAGAGAGAGTCTGGAAAGCAGACCCCATGCCCCATGAACCCCAACGATGTGAAGTCCACGAAACCTCTATCTTCCGAAGAGTATCCAGCTTACCGCACGGCCATAGGTATTCTCCTCTATCTCGGCCCCGATAGACCCGAATGCCTCTACGCGATCAAGCTGCTCTCCGCGAAGACTTCCAACCCTACAGAACATGAGTGGCATCTTTTGCGACACCTCGTGAGATACCTGAAGTTGCATCCCAAGCGTGGCATTTCTTTGAGTGCATGCAATCCTGGCAGGACCGTTGAGCAGCGCTGGCTTGCGAACCCTGGTCCTGAGCGAGGCCCGGAAGCTGATGCTTCCCAACCTTTCGGGAACGGACGCCTCATAGAATCAATCTCTGACGCCTTGTGGGGTGGAGAAGCCGACAGGCGGAGCATCAGCGCTGCAGTTATATTTTTAAACGGGAATGCGGTGCACGTGGGCAACAAGAGGCAGAAGAGTATATCGCTTTCTTCTTGCGAGAGTGAGGTCCACGGGAGCTTGTACTCCATTCAGGAAGGGCTTTTCTTGAAAAGGCTCTTAGAGACTGTGTGCGAGAACAGCGCGCACCTCGTTCATCGAGTAGACTCTTCTTCGTGCAGGGCATTCATTGATCGTGTTGGTCTGGGACGTTTGAAGCACATTGACATAGCATACTTGCGGGTGCAAGATCTCAGAGCTCGCAACATGTTCACGTTGAAGCCTATCTCTACGAAGTTTTGCCCGCCGGACCTTGCCACAAAGCCGATGAGTGGGGTGAGATCCAGAATGCTAGAGTATACCATAGGAGTGTGTCAGTCTGATGGCACCCTCATCGGATCGGAAGATTTCGAAGACGAATGGAACAGAGAGCAGCTGCGGCGAATCCGCAGTACCAAAGAGGGTGTGAGTTCAACTGCTAAGGCCTATGTTGCAAGGAGGGTCCTGGCGCTCTTGCTTGCGAGTGAGGGTTTGGGCTTTGCAGATGGAGCCTCTTTTCTGTCTCGAGATCCGAACACCCCGTTCATGATGACCCGGTGGAGCTTTGGCTTCATGATGGTGATTCCTGTGCTGCTGGCGGTGCTCTTTGTCAAGACCGAGGCCTACTTCAAGAACTACTTCAAGGCGAGCGGTGACGACAACGGCGAGGAAGTGAACGTCGAGAACTTCAAGGTGACGAGGCGCTTGGAGGAGACCGTCGAGTGCCACAACAACGTTGAGGAGACCAACTTCTTGGAGAATGCCTTCTACATCATGGCCTTCTTTGCTTGCGTGATTGGCTGGCTTGCTTTTCAACTGGGCGTCCGCTTTGGGCGCGAAGGAGAACAAGGCCAACTTGGAGATCAACGTGGACAAGACCTTCAAGCTCCTCTACTTGAACGTGGCGATTCAGATGTACCTCATGGCAGTGACCATCCTCTTCTTCGACGTGGCGATCAACCGGAACCTCTTCGTGAAGATCCTCCCGAAGTTCAACAAGGTGCTCAGCGTGTTCCAGGCGAAGGAGCTCAAGGTGACGATTCTCCTGATGAAGGGGAACATTGGGATCAGTTTGCGGACTTTGTGGAAACACCTCGGGTTGTCAGGTGCCACCGCCTCTACAAAGCCAATGGCATCGAGTACTCGGAGGACCTTCTTCGTCACTGGGAACAACACCGTGAAGTTTCAGTCGAGTTCCTTGGAGAGTTCGAGGGACGTGGTGCGGCAGCTGATGCTGCTACTGGCGAGGAGCTGGGTGGCGAAGTGACGGCTGCTGCTGCAGAAGTCCGTGGAGACCAAGGTGAGCAAGTGTGGCTGGTCGGTCGTGGCTCTGCTTTCCACAAGGCAAGCGGTGGCATGGTCAAGAAGGCACAACCTCAAGGAAAGGCGCGACCGTTGGAGCGAGTGACTGCCGTAGCACAGGGTTACAAGCGTTGTGGACAGTGCAAACCGTGAGTACAGTGCTTTTGCAGACTTTGAGCTGAGTTTGAAGTTCCTTTCGAAACCTGAGCAGCTAGCCTAAGAGGTTAGCGTTGAGAGTAGTGCTAAAGGCACTGCTGTCGAAAGCTTGTGGTTTTCAGAGGTCTGAAACAGGCCACTGAAAAAGGGGGGTAACAATCTTTTTGACTAGACCTAGACCCCCGTTTTACCTTTGAAACCTGTATCTGCTAAGAGCAGATTGGACAATCATGAGCGATCGTACCGAAGGCTCAAGGTTGCACAAAAGAGTGAGACCGCAAGTTTTGGTTTGGTTTTTAGAAGCGCTGCAGGTCGTGCCACCGCAATGGCTGGCCCACACCACGGCGCCCAGCGTGGAAGCAGCAGACCGGCGCCGCCTTGACCTGGTTGAGTACGGCACGACGCGCAGCGGCGGAGCGTTGTATTAATAAACAAAACCTTTTGCTGTGACGCCACGCTTGTGTCTCCCTTGACGTGCACGGGACACCCGCAACCTTGTGCAGCGGTGGTCGACGTCGCCTCATGGGGGTGCTGCCTGTTCACATCTGTATGGATTGGGGTTCGGGCATCTCCGCAACCAAAACACCACACTTTGCTATACCAACCTTGTCACCAAGCGCTTCTGCGCCTTCGCCTTCCCAGCCAGCCACCGCACTGCCTGTGCAAGCAGCGCAGCTCGCCGTACCCTACCGTTTGCACTTCCCACTGCATGTCCTTTCACGCAACTCGCTGCGGCCCCTCTCCGGGATGTGGCTCGCCTTGGCTTGCCCTCGCAATGGGCTAGTGGCTAAGCAAGCCAATGTCGTGTCAGGGTACCCGTCAGTCTCCAAAGCCCGACAACTCGATGTTAGAGTAAAGAGCACAGCCCGAACACAGGGGTTCGTGCTGCTAAGGCAAGTGTACATTCCGTTCCGCTCAAGCTGCACCATGCTGCGCCATGATTATGCGGCGCAGCGGCTCGTTTTGGCGCGTGTCCGCGCCCAACGGGCTCCCTTCGGCGCGGCGAGCCGCAGCCAGCAGCCACTTGTGCCTGGACGAGACGGCGGCGAGCAGCTTTGGCCGTAGCGGTGAAGCAGGCCGTGACCAGCACGGCCTTTGGCAGCCCATGGCCCGTCCCACCACATGCGCGCTTGCGGCGGGGCCCGGAGCTGGACCGCGTGCTCGACCTGGGGCCCGAGCCGTTTGCCGTTGCGCTAGCTAGCCGCAGCAGGCGTGCGTGGAGAAGTGTGGGTAGCCAGGTATACAGATGTGCTTGGGATGGACAGCGTGCAAGAATAAAAGTTCGAGAAAAAACGCCGGCATGCCACGACAACCCCCTTCTCAACCCCAGCGCTGTCAGAACAACCCAAATGCCGTCGCCGGGAAGCTTCGAAACAATCGAAAACGGCACGCATCATGCGAGCAGAAAGTCCACGAACAACAACTGCGTGCCCGCGCAAAGAGGCGAATGCGCAGGTTGCTCTCGCTTTGCACGCAGACATTGCGCAGTAGCCTACGCGTCCCCATCGGACGAAGGCGATGTGGAGCATCACCATTTCGGTGCATGTCCGGAGCGGTTACATGTGTTGGAGCAGTTTCATCCGATACTTAGCACCGAGGGCCGCAGCCGAAGGGAGTTTCGAAGTGGGTCGTGCGTATTTTGAGCATGTCCTTCGAGAGTGATTGGGGCCGAGTTTAGGCCGATACAAAATCAGGTTTCTACGCGCGTTTGGCCCAAGCTCATGAAACGTGTCGGTCGAAAGCGCCGTGTCACCGGGCGATGGAATCGACTGCATGGGTGTCGGAGTACAGCCCCTTACATTACCGAGCGAAGGATACATCTCCGGATCAGACGCGGTCCAGAAGATCGCTGAGCCGCAACCCATCGAGCGACATTCTGTTTGTGGACATCGATGCGACTCCTTCCTGTGCCAAAAGTGCGCCTGTTCTGAAACAATGCATCTGTGTGAAGGTTTTGGTTTCGGCAGCCCCGGTAGGATTTGCTAAGAAGGGCTTCGCAATTTGCGGTTCAGCACGACGATTCTTGTTTGATTTGTTTGACCGTGTGCATGTGCAGGGGCAGCATACAACTGCGTGGTGAGATGGTCCGAGATGCCAAAAGCTAAGGGCATGTTTCTCGAAGGCTTGATCTACCATGAGTTACAGCCCTTGGAAACTATCGACGAAGCCGTTGGTTTTGCGACATCGCATTGGACCGGCCAAGGATCGATGCTCAGCTGCCCCTTGTTGGGTACTTGGAGTATGAGTTTTGGCCGGTCAGGCCGGGTTTCGGTAGTAATTTGGACAAGAACCGAACCATGATGCCACTGTAGCAGGCATGATCACGCGCGCAGTTTCGCCGATGTTTCTGAGAGTCCAGGTGTTTTCACATTGGTCGCATCCGCCATGGGAGCCGGCTGCTTATCACTACCCCACATGTTCAGCAAAACAGGCATTGTTTGTGGCCTTGCTCTTCTGGCTTGTGGGGCTTTGCTCGCACATGTCTCGCTGGTGATCCTCATGAGTTGTGCTCGAATCTTGGCTACTTTGTGCGGCAAGGCGGGGGTTATAGGTTTCAGGGCTTCAAGTCGGGTCTAACCAACTACGCGTTCGAAGTGTTATAAGGACCCGCAGAGACAAGCCACCAAGTTTAAAGCCACGCCAGGCTGACCGTTGTAAAGCCGATGCGATCCAGGTCCCGGAGTGCGATGAATGCGATGCCCAAGCCTCACAACCCAAGGCCCCAGCGAAAAAACATAAGGAAGGCTCCCTTAACTTGAAACCCTAAACCCCAAAGGAAAAAGGCGCTCAAAAAAAAGGGGGAAAACCCCTCAAGCCGTGAAGATCGGATGTCTCAGGATACACCCAATGCCGTTCCTTTGCAGAGCTCGTTTCTCTCAGCGAGGCAGAGCCTTCCGATGGACGAAGTGGTCGAAACCCTCTGGTGGACACCGTGCCTCTTGAGGGTTTAGGGTTTAGGGAAGGAGTGCAGTGAAGTATGCATGCGACGCAAGAAGTCTAGTAAGTCTAGCGGAGTCTAGCGCAGCAGGGATGATCTCTTGCGATGTTGGGGCTAGATGCCACGGGAATTCTTGGCAGAAGAAACCAAGGTCATCATGTTCTATGGTATGGCAGCCGTACTGATTTACATGATGCTGATTGGTGATTTTTTTGCTGACATCGCGCAGTCGCCGCTGTTTGGTTATGCAGACGTTCCGCGGCAACGCCTGATCCTTGCCTCGCTCATTTGCGTTTTTCCACTCTCGATCCCCAGAAATGTTACAGCGCTGAGATACATATCCGTTTTGAGCACCAGCGTGATCGTGTTTTTGACAGTTGTGGTTGTCGCGAAGATGCCCAGCTGCGCCGTTACCAAACCGGCGGCAGAAGCTTCGGTGTGGGAGGAGAATGGGCCAGTTCGAACGATTCTGCAGTCATTTGCTATGGCACTCTTCTCTTTCAATGCGCACACAAATGCTGTGCCGGTGGCCATGGCTTTGGACCAGCCGCGGGCAGCCCGGATTTGGCAGGTCTCACTTCTGTCCGTTCTGATTGAGTTCGTGATTTATTCGACAATCGCAACTGCGGGATACCTGTCGTTCGGGAGGCTGACGAAGCAAGACTTCATTCGCAATTATCCGCCAGACGATCGCTGGATGTTGCTCGTTCGTTGCGTGTATTCTGTTCCGGTGATCTTCGGTGTGCCTATTAACTTGTCCCCGGCAGCGGCCTCCATTCAAGCTCTGGCAGGTCGCATTTTCTCATCCAAGCAGCAGTGTCTCGGATGGTTGAAGGGTTTCCGTCGTCCGTAGTCTCTGTGAGATGTAGCTGTAGCTAGCCAATCGGATGAGCGATTTTGTAGATCGATGTGCTAGGCTGGAGCGTGCTGGGGCTGTATGGGCTCTGAAGACCCGAGGTTCCGGAGACAAACCAGCGACCCGCATCCCAACTCTGCCAGATCACAATGTCGGCGCGCTGGCATTGTCGGAGCGGTGCTCCTTTGCAGCGCTCTCCTCGCGATCTGCTGCGACGCTTTCGCGGATGTGATCGGCGGCCTGGCCTTCTAGCCTTCAGGGATGTTCAGGGTTCTGGGTGAGCCCAAGCCAGGCCTTCAATGATTCAAGCTGCAGGAAATTGTGAGAGCCTGGGGGTTAAAGGGTTTTTGGTAATCAGGACACAGAAGCGGATATGACATGCTACGACAGCAAGAATAGAACGGATAGGCTCTCGAACAGTCTCGAGGCTTGTTTGGGGCCTGCTTTGGCACCGCCATTTGCCTCATGTGGCCTCTTCGAGTCTATCGGCATGTCATGCGAGATCTACACTCGAACCTTTTGTCGACTGCTGTCACCATTGCCTTGACCGTTGCGTCGGTTCTAGGAGTGATCGCCTTTCTAGAGCAGTGTCTACGTGTGTTCCATTTCTCTTGAGGCGGCCCAATTGCCGTCAGTTCCATGCAGAATTTTTGACTTGCAAAGTGTTTGTGCAAATACCCAGCAGAGCACAACTCCGAAGACAGCTTCTGTGCACAAAGCTATGCAGAGAGCTTGTGTGAGTCTGAGTCATTTAGACGCCCAGACATCCAAAGCCGATTTCCGGCGCTCCCACCTGAGCAGGGTTGAACAAGTTTCAGTTCCTGAGTATGTCAGCGGTAGACTGTTGATATGCGATGCCGAATCGCACTGCCTGTGTTGTTTGTGTTCGGGGGGTGCTCATCACACACCGACGAAGAGAGGGGTGTTCGCTCCAGACCGGCTTCAAACACCGCAAGACTTTGCTTTAAAGGAGCATGATGCTTGTACTGACACTCGCGCGCTTGAAGCCGTGTCTTGCTGTGAAGCTCTTGGAATCCCCGGGACCTTGTACCCGTGCAGGCAAGGGCAAGGAAAACAATGGAAATAATTGGTTGCCATTGGTCTTGTGGGTCTTAAGTAGCTGTTGGAACCACTTCTTCGGAAGCCTCGAGATGATCTGCACAGATGACACATACAAGTATGTATAATACACTCACATCTACAGACATCCGTGGATCGATATGTTGCGCACTTGTGCTGTGCGTGCCTCGACAACTTATTAGGTAAGCAGTTTTGAAAGTAGGTTATACGTATGCATACATGCATGCGTGTAGACTTACATACATCTACATACGTCCATATATGCATAGATGCATGCATACGCACACATGTGTAGGTGGTGTTCAAACCTGTTCCGACACAGACTTCTGCACGTTCCACATTGTTGGCTGCGGTATCATGCCAGGACGTGAGCTCCTTAAAGGATGCGAGGCGAGGAGGCTTAAGAGTGCTTCGTGGTTGCCTTGGCTCGAAGGATTGATGCACAAGCTACGCATGGATGCGGTGCTTCATGAGTGGGGGAGCAAGCCAGGTTTACATCCCCTGCCGAACATATTCTCGGCATGATAAAGTATGCACATACATAGCATGGGCAAAACATGAGCACCCAGACACAGGACTTCCTCAGTATCCACCAAAAAGTTCCTCAATATTCACCACACTTGAGGGCCCTGCCCGCAATGCAGAATGCTTTCGGGGCTCTTCCACGCGATCCAACGGCACGTTTTTATCGTAGGAGACAAGGAATCAAGGAACTCGTACGGGAAGCTTCAGGTAGCCGACGCTATAACATTCAAGGGCAGAACAGATCATAGAGGCGCTCACATGCATTAGGCCGCCGGCCGCCTCGCTCGTGTCCTGCCGCTTTTGCCACACTTCTCGGCAGTGTGGAAGGGGCCATGTCGAGCGCGATGAAGGCCGGCACATGTCTCGGGGAAAGGCGAAGAGAGGTCGTGTAGGTTTCGCTTGTTCAAGTGCAGCGGTGTTTCTGTCTGACAGCTCTTCAGCATCGGATTTGTGCCCGTGTGTTTTTCAGTACGAAGATCCTGTGCAGACGTCGAAAAGCAACCCTACGAAGCACGTGACCAAGGCATCCAAGGCTTCAAAGACCTCCCATGGTGGGAGCCCGGGCAACGCTTCGCCTACCAATGGCTCCCAGAAGGCGGAGGGGGCAGGGATGCGATGAGATGCAGATAGACGCAAAGATATGTAGCTACTTCGTTTCAGTTTGTTCGTGAAAGTTGTTCCGTAGCCATTTGGCTCAAGTTTGGTTCAGCCGGTGCTCGCACATCCGGTTGTAACCTGCATGGCCACGGCTCTGGCACTCCTGCCGGCTTTGGCTGCAGATTCAGAAGCAGCCTGCAAGGAGTTTTCCGCGAATGTGCGGGGCGGTGAAGAAGTTCGACGGTTCGGTCGCCACTTGGGCCAGTAATGACCATGGTGGGGACTCCTCCAGTGTGGCCTCGATGGTACTGTGGTGATCCACGGGGGGGGGAAGTTTCGGTTATGGTGGGGACTTCTCCCACCGGCCCAGCGATTTGACTTCAGTTGATGTGATCTATGCGAATCAAGCGGCTTTTGCCGCCAAGAAGCTCGATGGTTCCGTGGTCACCTTCGGTTTTCCGTCCAAGGGCGGAGACTCCTCCTCTGTGAACTTGACATCAGTCGATGGGATCACTCAAAACAATGAGGCCTTCGCCGCAAAGAAGCTCGATGGCACTGTCGTTACTTGGGGCCAAGCGAACGCAGGTCGGGACTCTTCTGCGGTGGCCCATCAGCTGACTTCCGTGGATGTGATCTATTCGAGCAGATTGTCCTTTGCCGCTCTGAAACTCGATGGTTCCGTCGTCACATGGGGCATGTCGATCGTCGGCGGGGACTCCTCTGCGGTGGCCAGTCAGTTGACGTCAGTTGATGCGATCGATTCGACTATCGGAGCTTTCGCTGCCAAGAAGGCCGACGACACCGTGGTTTGCTGGGGGTACTCTGAGTATGGCGGCGTTTGCAGGGACATTGCGAGCAACTTGACGTCAGTTGAGGTGAGCTATTCGACTTTAGGTGCCTTCGCTGCCAAAAAGCTCGACGGTACGGTCACCTGTCCAAGTGTTGGTGAGGGCAGCGGGGATTCCTCCGCCGTGGCCAATGAGTTAACGTCAGTTGAGGTGACCTATACAGGTGACACCGCTTTCGCCGCAAAGAAGCTCGATGGCACTGTTGTCACCTGGAGAAATCCCACTTTTGGCGGGGACTCCTCCAGCGTGGCCGGGGACTTGAACTCAGTTGATATGATCTATCCATCGGGCAAAGCCTTCGCTGCCAAGAAGCTCGATGCGATGGTTTGGTGGTCGCCTGGGGCTGGTTCAGTGTAGCCTCCTCCGCGTTCCCAGTGACTTGACCTCAGTGGATGTCGTCTCTGCAAGTGGAGGAAGGAGCTTCGCGGTGGTAGTGTGGTCGCATCGGGGGAGAGGACCGATGAGATCGCTCAGGCTGGTGAGCTGTGCCCCACCACGACTACAATATAATGCAACAATTTGGCAATAATTATTGGCCTCCTCCACGGTCATGACCATATCCACCTCAGTCACAGTGAGGTTGACATCCAGCTCCTCCACGGAGCCCGTGACATCGCTCACGAACACCAGGACGTCCACATCGAGCTGCTCTACAGTGTCCATGACGTCCACTACCTTCAGTGTGACGCGCACCATCGCAACCACGACAACAACCTCTTCAACAGTCAACCACCTTGACTGGGACCGTGACATCTCTCACAGGCACCACGACAACCACGTCAGCCTCCACCTCCTCCACGGTGTCCTCGACATCTACGTCCACCATGACTGCCACGTCAAGCTCCACTCTGCCCGCGACGACGGACACCATCTTCCGGGACCACCCGGATATTGCTGGGAGCGTTGACGAGGTTCGCTTGTCGCCACTCGGCTTTGCAGCATTCATCTTGATAACAATTGTCGTCGGAGCCATCATTGGTCTGGCCATTCGAGCTCTCCTAGCTCGACTGCATGACTGGCGCCCGCCTACCACTTCGGAGATTGCTCCAGAGGTGTCTTCCATCCAGGAGAGCCCAAACAACATGGAAGAGGCGGTGGTTGATCCAGCTGAAGAGGCAGATGGCAGGGAGATTTGGGACGACTGTGCCCTTCATTCAACGAAGTGAAACTTGCAAGCTGTATCAGAGATATCCAAAGAGGCAGCCCTTTGCTGAGTCTTGGCGTTATCGGCTCTTTCAGGGAGCCCGATAAGAGTTTTTGCGCCAGTGCCGGAAGAATCAGGGTGCTACGTGTGCTTAGCCGCCGCTTGGACGGCTGTAACACCCTGACTTGCTTAGCAGCGCCGCCAACTTGAAGTTGCTGGCAGCTTCTCCGAGAGCGTCCGTGAGTGTGCTTGGGAGACACCGCGGGTGCCCCCCTCCCTCCCTCCCTCCCTCCCTCGCTCCCTCGCTCTCTCGCTCTCTCGCTCTCTCGCTCTCTCGCTCTCGCTCTCTCTCTCTCTCTATCTCTGTCTCTATCTCTCTACTCTCTCTCTCTCTCTCTCTCTCTCTCTCTGTCTCTCTCTCTCCTGCCTCTCTCTCTCTCTCCCTCTTCTCTCTCTCGCTCTCTCTCTCTCTCTCTCTCCCTCCTCCCTCTCCCTCTCTCTCTCTCTCTCTCTCTCTCTCTCTCTCTCTCTCCTCTCTCCCTCTCTCTCGCTCTGCTCTCCTCTCTCTCTCTCTCTCTCTCTCTCTCTCTCTCTCTCTCTCTCTCTCTCTCTGTCTCTCTCTCTCTGTCTCTCTCTCTCTCTCTCTCTCTCACACACTCTCACTCTCTCTCTCTCTCTCTCTCTCTCTCTCTCTCTCGTCGTTAAAGTTCTTACTATCTTTCAACTGTCATCATTCGCCGTGTGCTGGTATGAGAAGGTCTCAAACGAAGGCCGGCAAGTTCCTGATGTGACGACAAGCAGTCTCCCAGACTCACCCGGCTTCTTTTTTGAGCCAGGTGGTCGGGCCGAACATCAAAGGAAACCGGGAGGACTTGATGTTAAATGCGTCGGATGAGCGGGAGCTGAAGGGGAGGGTGGCCGCGTTTTATGACGTAGGGAGCTTGATATTCTGGAGGTACGCTTCGAGATATCGAGATCTCGCTTCAGGGAAGGACTCGTGCATACTTACTTGCACAGTGTACATAGGGTCGGTCCCGGTTCGGCTTTGTTAGTCTTGCCAGGTTGGTCAGTCTTGTTCTGAGACCTTGCATGGTTTGTCGCATACAGTATACATGCCTTTGTGTCTTTGCGAGGGTTGAATCTTACCATTGCCTGGTCAAGTCAAGCGTATGGAATTTCCGCAGATGCTTTTGGCATGCTCTGCCTTCTTGCGCAAGAAATTCGCTTCTGTCGGGCTGGCAGCCATTTAGCAACGGCACGGCTGAAGTACAGTAGCTTAGATTTGTATACTACCGTATACAGCCCTGTGCTTGCATACAGCCAAAGACAAGGAGTTTCACAGACCAGCCAATCTATATATAGTTATTTGTATATACACATATTCACAAATGCATACACATGGAGCACGATGTGTGTGTGTGTGTGTGCGTGTGTTTATACAAGAGTAGATAAACCACAGTGTAGGCAGCTCGACACATCCGCGCAGTAAGCCCAGGAGTACCAGCTGGTGATGCACCTTCAGTCCGCCCTCTTTGGGGGAGTCTACGAGGCCAAGGGGCGCTCCAGTGGCAAGGACTATGCGATCAAGGCCGGGGGAGGGATGTTCCATGTGTTCGACTTCAGGTGTAAGCAGAGGCCTTTTCTTGGGACTGCAGGGGGGGCCGGGAGTGTGAAAGTCCTGCACTTCTGCTTTGGCTATTACATCCATGGCTTCGACGTCCAGGGTTGTTCCGGTCGCCACCATCATGCTGCACAGCGAATGCCGCTGCCACTTATGCTTACTATTCTGCTTCTACCCACGACAACCACGCCTACAGCTCCAACTAATACTGCTCCTCCCCCTACTGCTGCTGCACGAGTGTACAGTACTAACACGATTACGACGATCACATGGCTGCTTCTGCTGATGCTACACGAGGTGACTGCGGCTGAAACTCCGAAGTGGATCGACAACTTCAAGTTTTGTCGAGTCGGGGCATTTTTGAAGGGATCCTAGACTTCTTTGGAGTCGAGTCCGGTAAACGGAACGACGCCAAAACAAGGGTTTACATAATTACCAATGCTTATTTGGGGGTTGCTTATTATAGTTACAGGATTTTGGGCCCCAAACCCTATTCTAATTATTGAGGCCCCTATATTAATCAGTAAAAGCCCTCCGCACTGAGTCAGGTGCTGCACAAGAGCGAGCTCCAGAAGGCTGCCGTCAGGGAGAAATTTTCCTGCTTCTGTATGTGACGAAAGATTCGTTGAACGTGCAGGTAGAGGAGAACGACTCCATCGAGTTCTGTGAAGTTCCACTAAGTGAACTCAAGTTTGCCGATGCGGCGCGGCTGCAAATTCCCAGCTGGCGGAGCAATATGGCCGATGATCATGTCCAGTTGTTGAAGCCAGATAGCTGAGCAGCACAACCCTCAGCAGCCAGGAACAAGCTTATGAGATGGTTGCTGTTTCCGCTAACTCTTCTTGTTGAGCTGCCCTTCAAGAGGAAGTTTAGGAGACGCATTCATCGGAAGTAGGCCGGCTTGAAGCTAGAACCCGCCCGGGCTCTAAGCATGCGGAGATCTTCGTTCCGTGTATTGTGCTCCTACATCTCAAGATCTTGCAGTGCAGCGTAGCTGTGAGTTGCAATCAGCTTGGAACCGCAGGTCATGAAAGGGCACGAGCCACTTGGCCACATTGTGTTGGGCGTGCACCAGGTCAATCAGCAGGATCGGTAGAACAGCCTGTGGACCACGTCGCAGCCTTTTTTCTTTTGAGCCCACAAAACTACACCATTCTTGCATGATTCTCAGTGCATGTTCCGTGTCGCATTAGCGAGACTCTACTTCTGGAGAAGTTGGCGTGAAAGCACTTCCTCCAAACTCGCAAGTGCTAGACCCTCTGCTCTGCTTTCAAAGGCATGTCATGGAAGTCGAAGAGCATTTCGAAGACCAGCACCAAGGCTGCATTGTCTTTCAGCAATAGGCTCAACCCTGTGGCCGGTCTTGCTTCTTCTGGAATCCGACGAAGATCGGGGCCTTAATGATTACCTAAACTAGTTTGGGGGTTCCTAAATTCTAATTATGGTATAGTGGGCATCAAAACCCCGTGCTAATGATTAAGGCTCCTGTGTTGTGCGCAGTAAGCCCTCGTCCGGCTTGTACGAGCTGCGGGAGCATAAACCGTAGAGGAAGAAAGAAGCCCTAATCCCTAGTCGCCTTGGGACTTGTGACCTGCCATGCGGGTCGCCATGACGCGTCGTCCGGGAACCAAACAGTCCTGAGTCGTACGAGGGTTTTTTTTGGAAGCCTTGAGTTGAGCTTGTCCAGAGCTAGCCACGTCGAGATCCGGACAGCAATGTCACCAAACGTGATGAAGTGTTAGAACTGTTATAACACATAATTTTAATCGTTACATGTTGTGTACCGACAAATGCAAAAGGGATATTACTTGAGTTTGGTGTGGACCTGTGTGTCGTGGTTCGAGCCGAGGTATTGCCATTACTGTGTATTCGAGCTGTGTCGAGGTGGGCCCCGGCTTTCTGCGGTTTGCTGCCGAACCCCACAGCCACAAGAGACGGATTTGGCTTCCCTGGCAGGTGGGGATCTGCTGGAAGCGTTGAAGCAGTGACTCGGTGGCCCTACAGCTGCCCTCCGAACGCGTAGGTGCGAAAGCGACAGGCGAGATTCAGGAACCACCCAACGTGTGCTCGAACCACGAGATACGACAGCATGCATCAACCGAGCAGGAGCTCTCAAAAGGTGCTAGAAAATGTCAAGAACCGGACTAGCAGCTTTAGCAGACATGTCGCTTCGGTGCTGTGTAAGATACTCCTTTGATGGCATTTCGGATGACGAGCTGGGCAATCATCGAGAGGACTTGCTCTGCGGAGCAGCGCTAGCCCTAGCCCGAGACATCCCTAGAGTCGAACATACTTACTTGTACCGGAAGCCCAGAACATCTTGGACCGTGAACTCTAAACCCTAATCATAATGGGGTTTTGGGGCCCATTATACTATATTTATAATTGTAATAAGGCACCCCCAAAGTAGTATAGGTAATCATTAAGGCCCCTAAGAGCATCTAAGCCCTAAGCCCAGGAAGCCAATGGGCTTCGACGAGCGGCAGGCGCAGTTCCTGATCCGACAGGCAGGGCGGGGGGTGTAGGGTTCATGGATAGTTATAAGTCATAAGTGGTGTTATAGTTTTCAAAGATGGGTTAAATTTATAATCACCCCACTTATAAGCCCGCTTGTCCTCCAAATGCACCCTGGGTTCGGAGGCAGCAGAGACTGGACGAAGGGGCAAGAAGCAGTTATTCAGACTTCCCCGAACCCGTGCAGACCTCTTTGCGGAAGAGCCCGTGCTGCCAGGCAGTGCTGGGCCTCGCCCATCTGCACGACCGAGGCCCGAGCAGGGGCATCGAGGGGGGTGGACTTGGGGGTTCGTGGACTTCTAGTCCTGATTTGTTTGAAGACTGTTGCTAGAATATGCGCCCTACTACAAGCTCCCTCAGTTCAGGTCTTCTGCTCCCTCCTCACCTTGGGCCCAAGCCGCGGTGGAAGGTCCCGCACGAAACCAGAATCAATTGGGACCAGGAGTGGCGATGCAGGACGTCTCCTTGGAGAATATGCTGCTAAACATCAACCCAAGACGGGGCCTCAGCCGCGCAGCTTTCGGCTGTTGTGTCTTCGGACTCCCTGGCCTTTTCACACATATCCCGGGCCAGTCGATGAAAGGTTGTTGTGGTTTGAGGACCAAGTGGGGGCTTCGGAAAATAGGGGACCCTAATATAGTGCCCTAAATGCTAGGATACTTATTACAAAGGCCCCCAAAATAAGGTACCCCCTAATTTTTCCGAAACTCCCAAGTCAGCAGCGTTTTGGGGCTCGGTCCGAAAGTCCCCCCTGACGCTGACATTGCTCAGAGGCCGAGTAGAGCCCCGAGTAAGTGAGCCCCCCTTTCCCGGGTTCTTGTTAAGGAAACTCATTTAAGTTACCATACTAGGGATCTATAGTAGATGCTAAATAATGTCGTTTCTTTGGTATGATAGCTATAGCAAATGATATGGTTTCTTGTATTATGGTACCTTAAACTTAAGTTCCTTGAGAAACAAGAACTTAGTTTTCTTCCGATAGACTTCCCGTGACTTGCGAAGCTCAAGGCTCGGGCCACTGGCAGGTGTGGCTCTCAGAGCATCCGGGGATATATTCCCACTATTAGTACTACTATCATTGTTACTATTATTTATTATTATTGTTATTGTTATTGTTACTATTCTTATTACGATTGCTAGTATTAGTAGTACTTTGCCTACGATTATGATTATTCCTACTGTTATTACTATGGTTTTTCTTAGGACTTTTGGGAGTGTGGGATCGTGCGAACCGGTGGGCTGTCATGTTGTTGGGCCAGCATTGCAGAGGCGTGAGAAGCATCGTAGGGCTTGTTGAAGTTGTACGTCCCGGGCGGTGTTCACTGAACACATCTGTGACTGCGGAAGCAAACTAGGGGCCTTTGATAATTAGAATAGGGCTTTGGGGCCCACTATACCATAAATATAGTTATTTAGGACTCTATAGTATTCAAGCAGAGAGCAAGGCTGCCAGTGGAGGGAGTCGAAGCCACCAAGCCATGCAGTGTTTGGGAAGGTGAAGATCTGCGATCCTGGTCAGGCCTTTCGGCCTTTGCAAGGTCTAGTACGGGCAGAACACGTCTTAGCGATAGGAGCGCAGAAGTAGAGGTGACATTAGTCTAGTGAGAGTTTACTCTTGGAGACTTTGTAGAGACCGGGCCAGAACGCTTGCACAAGAGTTATAAGAGAAGGACCCGTGCTGGTGAGCCGTTTTCCAAACTTGCAGGCAACTGTCGGCTGTCCGGACCCCCAATCCCCAGATCCCCGAACTCCGAACCCTCATGCAGGGGCTTCAAAGAACTAGAAGAGGGTTTGGGGGTATATTGTACTTTAATGATACTAAGGAGCCCCCAGAACCCTATTCTAATTACTAAGGCCCCTACATCAACTTGCCAGCATTGTTTCGCAAGCTCGGACCAACACGAACATGCCTCGACTGAAGCCTCCGCGTGTGAGCGCCCAAGTTTCTGAGATTCCCTGAACCCTAACGCGCCGAAACCATAAACCCCTAAAAAAAACCTTAAACGCCTAAAACAGCAGATGTTCCTGTTGTCCAGGCTGTGCGGTTCCAGACAGACTCCAATGGCCAGGAAAAGCCCGTAGGCTTTCATGGACTTGTGGGACCCTCGTCTGCAGATTTAGGCTTGGCTCCGGGCTGTGGGGTCACTTTTTTTTGCAGCGTGCCAGGATTTAAAAGCGTGTTAGGGTTTAGGGTTGAGGGCTCAGGGTAGTGTGCAGGATTTCAGAAGTAGATCAAAACCGACGGTTTTGTTACCTCGTTTTATCACTGTCGGGCTGTTCTATTTCATGAGCTCCGTTGTTGGGAAGGGCAAGATAATGGATTGTACTACATACGGCGAAGAAAGGGGCGGGTCAAGGTTTCCGCCGCAGACGTGCATCCCCTTGGCAAGGCAAGTCCTTCCGCCCACCAGAGCTGCACGACCACAAGCCGTACCTTGCAACGAAGGTGGACTCCTGGTGCTTGGGAGCCGCGGCTGAAAGCTGGAAGAGTTAAACAGAACCAGGCGATATCCATCTCAAAAGCTGAGCCGCAGAAACTGCTAGCAGCTAGCCACGATGTGAATGGTGACAATGGTGATGATGATAATCAGGTTGCTGAGGAAAATCTGGATCGAGGATGGGAGTGATGATGGTGGTGGTGATGGTGATGAGGATGATGTCGTGGCATGTGAACGCGGCCTGGTGCCAGTGATGACAATGGCAATGACTGTGATGCTGAGGAGTCAGTTAATGATGGCGATGGTAGCAGACTCGTTCAGTCCTCTCCCTATCCACTCTATTCATTCTTCGATTGATTGAAGGCAGAGTCTTGTTTCGACACCATAGAATCGAGGCTGGAGCACCTTTTACCTGCTTACGGCGCAGCCGCTTTTCATGAGCGCCGATCCTGCGCTCAAGGACGCTGGGAAATGCTCGCCGCGTCGTCGTCGTAGCAGTAGTGTAGTGTGTGCTCTGGACAGCTCCCCACATCACAGGATGTCCTTTTTTAAGTAGCTTTGCGACCTCCCTTCCTGGTCGGAGGACACCGACTGGCAGCTCTTTAAGCTTCTTGGCTTTCAGGTCTGGGAATTTCAGCGCAAGAAGCCTTTTCGCTGAAATAGTTTTTGCGGAGTTGGGTGTCGACCTCGTGTTCTGCAAGACTGCGCGAACTAGACTAGATCCTGGACTCCTGAAGCCTGAAACCCTCAGCCGTAAAGCCTGGGCCATACACCTTAAAGACTAAGACCTTAACTGCAAGGGTAAAAAAGGCGTTAAAGAAAAAAAGAACAAACCTTAAAGCATTTAGACCGTGAACTCAAGGGTTTTCGGCCCAGGAGCGGCAAGTTTGACGAGCTTTTCAAAACAAAGTCGCCGAACTTCTCGCAGCTGGGAAGCACTCAGGGTCTTGAGAGCCCTGATGCCCAGTGATTCCAGTACCTCCTATGACTAGTGAACGATTCCGAGTCATGAAGGCTTCGGGTTTGGGGGCTCAGTTTGGGTTTGTGCACCTCTTTTGACCATTATGATTGTTATGATTACTGTATGCAAATGAGTCATGACCTGCCTGCGTGAGAGAGTTGGTTCCAACATGCGTTGCAACAAGTAGCAACATCAGGATCGGGGGAGCCGTGACATGTGGTAACCAATATAATAAGCTAAAACCCGAGCCCTGCCCTACACCCCAAACCGTGGTTTTGAGTTGTTCGGTTGCGATGCGATGCCACACCAGGCCAACTGGAATTGACTTCATCTTCAAACTTCTCCAGTTTGAGCCTTCCAAGCGGATGTCAATTGCAGATGCCTGCAGCTTGGCGCAATGTAGAGCTTTGATTTCATGGGCTGCTCGTGCGAGAGCGTGAAGCATGTGGCTTTCTTTCTCTCTCTCTCTCTCTCTCTGTCTGTCTCTCTCTCTCTCTCTCTGTGAAGACTGTGAAGACTTTCTTCACAATCCTTACTGATGCAATGCAAATAATGCGTCAAAGTGGGATGTAGCACATTGTCCTGAATGGCCAATGCACCAAGGCAAACACGTGCCTTGGACGCAGCAAGACATGTTTGTGGAGCCCTGCTTCTACGTGCCAGCCGTGAGAGTGGAAGATACTAGAATCGAAACAAACTGAACTGCCGACAGCGAATCGTAGCTACTAGCAACTGGTAGAAATTTGGAAGTAAGTTGTGGAGTCTGCGGGCATCTTCTCGGGTAGGTTTTGGGTTTGAGCGCCTTGAGGGCCTGGCTCTTGCCTGCCAAGGCTTGGTTGAATGATGCCAGCGTGCAACCAGTTCCCGCACCCAAGGACGCTGTATCTGCAGACTGCACTTTGCAAGCAGGGGTGGATCGGCGCCGTAAGCTTTGACGCATGATGTTGTTTAGGCCCCCGAGACGCATAGTGTAAAGATGTTGGGAATCATGACTCGTTTCGGGATCACAAGAAGCCAGCCCCCAAAATCTTGCTTCCAGTGCTTAGCGTATTGGGTGTCATGTCGGACGCGAGGAGCTGCTCCCTGACTCCCTGATCCGAACCAATGAGGCCGCAGAAAATCAGAAGCTTAAGCGGTGCACTTAAAAGCTTCTCCGTGGGACTCTGGGAGACTGGAGGGCAACGGAAAGGGAGGCTAAAGGGATGGGAACCCTGGGCCCCTATATACTCAGCCCTGCTTCGCTCCGACAGGTCCAGGTGCCGGCGCCGGTGCCCTCAAAGCCCGCTCCGCCCCCTGCGGAGCGTCCCGACTTTATGGGAGGCCCGGCCGAAGAAGGTTCCATTGAAAGGGAGAGGTTCCAGAACGAGTTGTCGATTTGTAGGGAGCGCTCTTGTGCACCCGAGATGAAACCACCCGCAGTGTCATCGAAACAATGAGGCCAAGCTGACTAGAGTCTAGAGTTCCATGCCTCATCTACTTCTTGTTGTTGAAGGCTCGCTCTCTGCCAGCATCCCCTCCATGACGGCTTCCTTGGGAGCTCCTGCCATTGGCTCACCGATGAGGCGCGGAAGGGCGGGAAGCGTGATGACATTTTCTCTTGTGTTGCAGCGGATATGATAATTAGTGTTGTTTGTCATGGTGATGGTGTTGGTAATCGTGAACGAGTGGCAGAAGATGCTGTGGAAGCTGCTGCATGGTGTTTTTTTGAATGGGAGTGCTCCTGTTGTTAGGCCGATGACGCACACTCTACCGACCTGGTCTGCTGCGCCGATACAAGGCACTGGGGAGACGTAGCTTCAGCTCCTGTCCCAAACTGTCTCCCGACCAGGGCCAGTCATGGTTAGGTGACAAAGGTTCAAGGTCCAGATCTCATCAGACACCAACGCCTTCAGGTGTTGTGTCCACGACCACGAAGATGGTGGCGCCCCGCACGCCACTTATGCACCTGGTCTGCATTGGAGAAGTCATTCGATCTTGCCCGGCCCGGTGCCGCGACCCGGTAATTGCGAGACAGAGCTTGCAGCCGTGACAAACTGCACCCGGCTAAAATTACAACAACCTGTCTGCTTGCATGTGTTGGCCCCAAGCCCTGAGCCCAAAAGCTGAGAGCGTTCTGCCCGTCTGTAGGAGAGTTCGAAGTCCGTCGAGCCGATCCCCACGCACCTTGGTGAGCAAGCGCGATCTCGGGGTTGCAGTCACCGTCGAGCTTTGTTGTCCCAAACTGGCACGTGCGTTGCTGGTGTCGTCGCAGAGGCGCCAGCAGGGCCCATTCGCGGAAGCCGTAGTCCCGTAGTCGCGACCTTGATATCCCATAGCCCCAAACGCACCAACCCCCGAAGACCAGCAGACTCTGCCCTGAGGCCAAAGCTTCGCAGCGGAGGTTCAGATGGCAGCCGCCTCGGAAGTTCTGGGAGGGGCGCAGGTTTCGCCATGTGAAGCTTGTCGGGAAATGCCCGTCGGGCCCCGGTACCCCGAAATCGTAGGATCCTCAGTGCAAGCGCCCCTAAATTGTGGTTTTCTGAAGCCCTTGTCGTGGATTAGCCTTTCTACGCCAGGCCTTCATCATAGTCATACCCCTCATAGCAGCCCTTTTATAATAACCCTCGCAGTGTATTGCAGTATATCACCCTCGCGATAGCCCTTAGAGGAAGCCTCATCGCAAAATAGTCCGAAGAGTAACCATTCTTACATGAACTCACCCTTATCGTAAATTGCCCTAACAGTAGCCCTTGTTAAACGATCCTTCTACTACACAGCCCTCATCGTTCAGAACCTATAGCAGCCGTACCCAGCCCTAACAGTAGCCCTTTTTATTAGCAACCCTTACAGTCTACAATCCTCATAATATGTGGCCCTATCAGCAGCCCCTTTTGAATGACCGTTACGGTATACAACCCTCATCTTGTGCAACACTTACAGTAGCCCCTTTTCAATGACCCTGTTAGTTTCCGACCCTCATCGTTAACAGTTACAGTAGCCCACTTAAACAACCCTTACAGTTTAGAACCCTTTTCGTTTATGGCTTGAAACACTAGCCGTTTAAATAACCCACAAAGAAACACCTCGTCGTATGTAGCCCTAACGGTAGCCCGTTTTAAACTAAGCCTTTCAGTTCTTATATATCTCTTATAGTAGCCTCTATCATAATCCCTTAATAATGCAATCCTACCGCTCTTCATCCTGAGGTGCAGAGCGCCGATCGTCGGAGTCGAGCCTTTCAGCCCCAGCGGAGGTCCCAGAGGAGCTCTCGGTTCGGGGGGGGGGGGGATGACTTTGTCATCGCTCAGGGCTGGGTTTGGCGTTTTGGCCTCTTGACACCAAGAGACTAAGTGCCCAGCTGGAAAAGGCTTCTGGGAATCTTGGGTCTTGACGGTTGAAGGTTAGGGGCTTAGGAAAGGCGTAGGAAGGCCTTGTTTGGGGTTTATGAGCACTGAAGCTCGCAGGGAGTCGAGTAGGTTGCAGGGCGGCCTGAACAGGATCTTACGTTGGATTCTCGGACTGCTGCAAGGGGACGAATCTGTTTATGTCCTCTGTGTTGTGGAAGCGGCGCCACCGGATCATGCTGCTTACTTCTCGCATGGGGAGTTCTTGAACTGTGCAAAGGCTTCGTCTTGGTTCTCTCAGAGCCCTAAACCCTAAACCCCTTTTTCCCTTAACCTTAATCCCTAAGCCCTACTCAGGATCACTGTTGCGAGGCGGAAAAGGGTCGTGCAAAAAATCCCTACTCAGGGCACAGCTGACCATGACATGAGCTGAACCTTAAACCCTAAACCCAAACCCTAAACCTAAACCCTAAACCCTGAACCCTAGACCCCAACCCTAAACCTTTTCGACTCCAGGACCGCCTACTCGGGAGCTTATGCTGCTTGGAGAGAAGTTTGGGCCAAAGAGAGGGGGCGAGGAAATGCTGAAAGCCGAAGCCCAACTCTGGCCCTGCCCGCTACTTGTAGTGATATACGATTACTACTACTACTACTACTACTACTACTACTACTACTACTACTACTACTGCTACTACTACTACTACTACTACTGCTACTACTACTACTACTACTACTACTACTACTGCTACTAAACTAATGATTGCAATTTTTCTTCATGTTAGTAGTATCATCACCACTTTCTAAACGCGCTGACAAGGGGTTCATCCTTTCATCTGGGAGTGAGCCTTCACCTGCGACTTCTCGTGTTGTTAGCATTTTCTGCCCTCCTCTCTCTCTCTCTCTCGCGCTGTCTCTCTGTCTCCCTGCTTTCTCCGTCTTTGACTTCAATTCTCTGCCCCTTTGTCTCTGTCTGTCTAAGGTGGTGGCCACTGCCCATTCCCCAGCGCCCATGGCACTGCGTGGCACATCCGGGCGGGCTCTGCCGCATGCACCACCCGCCGGAGACGCTTGGGTGGTACTTGGTTTGGGGCGCATTAATTCAGACGGAATTGATATTGCAGCACAAGCTTTTGCAAGGCTTGTCTTCGGTTGCTGCTTTGGCAGTAGCCACACCGATGTGCCGACTTCCCTTAAAGACATCTGCAGCGTTTCATGAAAGACGCAAGGAGACCAAACATGAACTCTGGCCGAGGAAAACCATGGCGTGGTAGCGGGCCACAACTACTACTCCCACAGCCTCTTGGATTAGATCCGTGCTGCTTGTAGCTGGCACTGATAACAGATTTGGCACCCCAAAACTATCGATATGTGCATATAGTAGACGCAAAGTCAAACGGTTGCAGGAACTCTTTGCCCTGCACGCTTTGCCGAGGTCATGATGGGGGACGTGCGAACTTTATCGCCACACCCAGGCGCTGTCCCCGAAGACCCGCAAAAAGGAAAAGCCAAGGATGTAGGGCCCCAGGAGCGGAATCCTGCGGACTCGGGATTCTTTGGCCCAAGTCTTAGGGTGAAGGATTTTGGGGGCTGTATTTCTTGGCTTTATTGCGACAGGAAGTACGCTTCAAGAAGGCTGCTGGTTTCAGTTTCGAGTTGTTCAACCAAGAAGTGACTGACCCCCACACATAACAGTTGTTGCTCCATCCAGCCTGCCCGGGCGAAATCTTCCGGTGCGGCTTTATCTGGAGATCCTCGTTACTTGGGTTTGAGAGAAATAAGCTCAGAAGCTGCAGTCTTATGGTGGGAGTGGCCTTGGAGGGAAGCGCCTTTGGCGTCGTGTCCGCAAAGCCCATTGCAAACGCTTGAGCAGCCACTTGAGCCCCGAGCATGCCGATGCCAAAGTCTGGTTTGACCTCTGCCCTTTTGCCAAAGTGGAGTGCCCGAGCAGGTCAAACTCCAGACCGCGGCCCTCAGCGACATTGGCTCCATCGCCGCTGCCGCTGGCATCTTGGGGGCGTTAGTTCTCCTTGACGCGGCTGCCGGGGGATTTGGGTTTTCCAGTTCAGTAGTGGAGGGGTTTGAGATGATGTATTGAAATCCGTCCGGTGCGTTTTGTGCGCATGATCAGGTCCACCCGCTTGCGCATACACCAATGTCTGCATCAGAGTGGGCCCATGACACGTCAGACTGAACAGTACGAGCAACGCTTTCGAGCCCCGAAACCGCGACAGGAAGGACCACCGTGACGCTTCGCCCACCACTCTTCATCCAAGCCCCTAACTCGAAGTTCTTAACCCTCAACCCTACACCTGAAGCGACTGAGCCCTAAACGGAAGTCATCCTGAACGAGTCAAAACCGTGTCCTGTTTGCAAGCCGAAGAACTCTGTAGTTCTCAAGCTCCGGGAGGCTGTCCAGCACCTCCTTCTCCTCGACTGTCCTGCCTTTCTTCGGTTTCTCATCGGGCTTGGCTTTATCATCCTCCTCCTCGGCTTCATCCTTCTCCTCAGCTGTCATGCCTTTCTTTGCTTTCTCGAGCTCGGCTTAATTATCGATATCGTCGTCCTTGGCTTGCACCATCCCGCTGGATGCAGGCAGAGCCCTCGAGCGAACAGCGCGGGAGGCCGCTGTGGGCCTTTGGAGGGCCAACCAAGGAGCGGACGAAGCCAGCTGTTGACACCCCTGATGAACATGGAACTCTGCTTGTCGTTGTAGTCGCAGTAGTCGAAGTCGTAGTGGTAGTAGTAGTAGTAGTAGTAGTAGTAGTAGTAGTAGTAGTAGTAGTAGTAGTAGTAGTAGTAGTAGTAGTAGTAGTAGTAGTAGTAGTAGTAGTAGTAGTAGTAGTAGTAGTAGTAGTAGTAGTAGTAGTAGTAGTAGTAGTAGTAGTAGTAGTAGTAGTAGTAGTAGTAGTAGTAGTAGTAGTAGTAGTAGTAGTAGTAGTAGCAGTAGTAGTAGTAGTAGTAGTAGTAGTAGTAGTACGTAGTAGTAGTAGTAGTAGTAGTAGTAGTAGTAGTAGTAGTAGTAGTAGTAGTAGTAGTAGTAGTAGCAGTCAGTAGTAGTAGCAGTCAGTAGTAGTAGCAGGTAGTAGTAGTAGTAGTAGTAGTAGTAGTAGTAGTAGTAGTAGTAGTAGTAGTAGTAGTAGTAGTAGTAGTCGTAGTCGTAGTCGTAGTCGTAATCGTAGTCGTAGTCGTAATCGTAGTCGTAGTAGTAGTCAGGTAGTAGTAGTAGTAGTAAGGTAGTAGTAGTAGTAGTAGTAGTAGTAGTAGTAGTAGTAGTAGTAGTAGTAGTAGTAGTAGTAGTAGTAGTAGTAGTAGTAGTAGTTCTCAACGGCCAAAGCTTAAACTCATGCGGCCAACCGAGCTCTAGAAAGCCCGCAGGAGGGCGCGCCGCCAAGAATGGGCAGCGGCACTTCGGACTTCCAGGCTCGAGATGGTCCCCTGCTTTCCCCCCTCCGTCTGTGGACGTCACTAAGTCTCCGTCTCCCGTCTCGCCGGTGTCCCAACACCCCGACCGACCCTGAAGTTTTCGCAACCTGCCCTGAACCGCATGGCCGCGGCTCAGACAGTTGATCGAAGTTCAGTGCGAACAGCGCAGGCAACGCATTTTACAAGAAGAATAGCAGAATAGCTTTTACAGTAGCCTTAGCCACCCGAATGAAGACCTCGAACAAAAACTCATCCACTCGTCTTCGCCAGGGCCCGGCCCGGGCAGCCTCGCCGGTTCCTGTGGCCTCCATGGCCATGCCAAGGGTGACCTGGCAGTTGGAGTCTCCGATTTCGGAGTTTCCGAGAATTGGGGACCCGAATATAGTACCCTAGGGCACGATATGTGTTGGAGATCTCTATAGGAGTTTCCGAAAATTAGGGGGTACCTTCTTTTGGGGTCCTTATCATAAGGATCCTACTATGTAGGGTGCTATATTAGGGTCCCCGATTTAAGGGATTTCAGGCGTTAGGGATTGTCTTGTGTGATTAGCCGGCCCCAGCTTTGCTGTTTGTCCGGTGGCTTCAAGCAGTTTCTTTGGTGATACGACAGTTGTAAGACTTGTTTTGGCTGCTGCTGCGCCGTGATTCTTTGTCAGTTTGGTCAGGGTTTCTCACTGTCTCGGCTGTTCTTCTCATCTTTCTAGGCACGCTTTCTGCATGGATGGCAAGGGTATTGGAGGACTGCTTGCAGGTGTTGCCTCGCTAAAGCTTTCCTTTTGGCTTAAGACAGCAAAAGGCTGCCAAAAAAAAGATTGCAACTGGCAAGACGACACCGGTACTCTTTGGAACAGTTTCATGTGCTCTGTGATCTGCATCAACTTCATTTGGAATGCTTTGAGCTTCTGTTTCAAAACTAGGGCTCTTACCGGGATCCTCTGGCCTGTGACATGGAGCGCATCCTGACGTGCATCTACAACATCCCCATTTGCGGTGGCTTCTGTGCTCCGACCCAGAGTCCGGAGAAGGGAATCCTCCGTCACTTCTCGAATGAGTACACCTTGCCATTGGCTGGGGTCTTCATGAAGCTGCGTGGCTGCCTTGAGACGAATGCCTGCTGCCGACACTGTGGTGCCACGGGCATCGCTTTCGGCAGAGCTCATCGGCGTGGGCTCATGGTCACTTCCTTCTGGATCTCTTTCATCGCTTGGCTTCTGAATATCTACGCAGTGCTGGCCTTGTCCCACAACGCCCAGGTCCTGAAGGCCACTGCCTGGGCCACCGGCACGTTTGGGTATGGTGGGCCGTATTTGGGTGCCAAGAGCTGGGTGGGACTGGGGGGCCGGGTGGATGAAGTGGACTGTGGGATGTCTGAGTACACCGATGGCTGCAACAAGTGGTTCCGCGAAAATGCGGAGTTGATGAAGGAGGTAAGTCCGGGCCTTTATCGACGAGTTGTATCCTTCGGAAACACCAAGTCCTGTGCTGGCAACATTGTCTATCACAACGCGAAGTTGGCAGACCTCGTTGCCTCGGCGACGAATGAAACGGTCTATGCTGACACGGAGATGTGTGAAGGTTGTGAGAAGTCTGCGAGCAACACTGTCAGCTTCGCCATCATGGGGATTATCACACAGATACCGCAGATGACAACAGATCTACAGCGCTCTACCCGCTTCGGCGACGTCAACTGCCAGGCTACGATGGGAGCGATCACATCCTGCTGGGGCACCTTCAGCGGTCTCACTTCCTTGACCTCTTTCAGCTACTCCTGCTGGAGGAAGTTTCCCCGGCTGGTGCGCGACAAGGTGGGCGACATCGAGTACAAGTGGAGCATGGGCCCAGGGTTTGCTTGCATGCTCATTGCCACGGTCCTCAAGCTCTGGGATGCACTGGCGCATGCTATGGTGCCAACTCCGACGGCCAGGCAGACGAAGCCGCCCAAGGGCGTCGAGCTCTTCGAGTACATGAATATGGCTGAGAAGCCACAGTCCGAAGAATCTGAGGGGTCCCACACAGAGGATTCCGACGAAGTTTAGGCCCCACTTCAGGTTCGTATTATGCTATTAGCCTATTAGCTTCGGGCCTCCAGAGCCGAGTTTTCGTTTTGGATTGGACCCTCGGCTTCGGGCATGGAAGGCCAGTTTTGTTGCAGAACCGCGCCGTTTGAAACCTGGAGGATTTACACAGGTTTTGGCACAAGCTTCCGGAACCTGGGGAATTATTTAGGCCCCTTTAGTATGACAGGTGGCAGGCAGATGCAGGTCGGCACTTGTCTGCCTCGTGCTCGTGACCACATTTTGCGGCCAACAGAGTCGCTTGCTGGAGCGGCCGTCATCGCAGGAGATGCTTATAACTGCTAGTCTAGAAGCTGCGTCCGAGATGCGACAGCCTAAGCCCAAAAGCCTCTAAACCCGAAGTCGTAAACCCGGAACCCTGAGTTGCCAGAGCGTAAACCCTGAATGGTTTCATCTCTTCTTGGCGCCTCCAGCCTGCTCTTCGTCGGGTTTTGTGAGGGCGGAGAGCCGCAGCGGGATGACAAAACAGAGCCGCAATTCAGGGTTCAGGGAACCTGGCCGGGCGAGCTCCAATCAAGCCTGCGCAGAAAGGGGCAACGAGCCGCCGTGGAGCCTTGCGTGTATTGCAGGAGTGTGAGGGTCCTACACTTGCTCCCAAATTTACTACAGAAGCCAAAATGCCTTACTTGGAGTTCCTTCTGATCATTATATTGTCTGTATGCGTACACGATGTCATATATATATATATAGATAGATAGATAGCCCGAAAAGAAAGTTAATCTCATGAATGACGGCCCCTATATCAGGTTGCTTCACCGGGGCCCCCTGGCGGCATCTCCTTTGTGGCCGCGGATGGCAGAAGGGCTTTGAGCCCGGCGCGCCACGCCGCTTTTCATGGAGAAGCAAAGGACAGGGGAGGGGGGGGTGGGGGTGAGGGCTTTCCGGGTTTGCAGGGTTTTAGGGTATCTTTAGGGTTCCTGACTGCAGGGTTTTGGTTCAGGGTTTTAGTTTTTTGGGTCCGGAAGGTGTTCCGCTTGGAATTGTTTCCGAGACCTGAGCAAAGCCGAAGCTTTTGCGCCGCAATCCCTCTTGTATATTTGCCAGGCGGTCGTCGTGTAAACTTGCATGAGAATTTGTTACCCACCTGAGCCCCAGACATGATATCGTGCTGGAGTTGCTATCGTTCCTTTACCAAGTTAAGCGCTAGGGCTTTGAACCCGTCAGCAGCCAAACCTAGTTGGGATCTTGCAACATCAAGTGGGAAGGCAAATTGGCGTGCGTTTTAGGGGATTGGGACATGAAGCTGGATAATCTTGGTCTTCACTTGGGAGATCTGCATGACGCCCCTGGTTGCTAGCTCTTGTGCTGGCCCATGTCACATGTCCCTGTATCACACCACTTGTGTCAGCCCAGGTGATCGTGTCGAGATCGCCTTCGCCAGCGCCTCCAGCGGCAAGACAGACAGTCCCCGAAGAGTCTAAACCCTAAACCCCATACCTCGCCTGGATTGTCCGAGTGTGAGCGCAGAAACCCTAAGTCCCTTTGTGTCAAGTCGTCAGGGAGGCAGGCCGAATACAAGCATGTGGGTGTGTGTGTGTGTGTGGGGAGATGCTTGAGAAACCTGCAAGCAACCTATGCTTTGGGCTTCCACCTGTGGGTTTCGAGGATGGTCCGAAACATGGCGAAGGATCCGAAGTGTGCTAGACTGTTTTTATTCATCCCACCAAGACTTGGAGGATCCGTAGAATTTTGGCCATTCCTTGAGTAACTCTACCAAAGTCTGTATATGTTGCCTGTAGTGAACAGAGTCACGGCGAAATCTTCGACTGTCGTATTTCATTGTTCGATGTTTGGCGCATGTATTCCGTCGGACGAAGCGCGCACCGTCAGGGCGGTGTTCTTTGCACATCCATTCCTGGGTTCTTGTTAAGGGATTTCATTTAAGGTACCATAAACAAAGAAACCCGTTTTATTTACTATAGATCCTTGTTATTATGGTAACTTAAGTTACATTCCGTAAGAAAAAGCCAGATTCGAAGCCTGGGCCTCGGAAAAGACCTTTGGCCCAGGTGGAGTTAAATCGCGGTGCCAGCCCGGCGATCAGAGGGACCTCAGCAGGTGGAGAGTGTACTACTACTACTACTACCACTGCTACTACTGCTACTACTACTACTACTGCTACTGCTACTGCTACTGCTACTGCTACTGCTACTGCTACTACTACTACTACTACTACTACTACTACTACTACTACCACTACTGCTACTACTGCTACTACTACTACTACTACTGCTACTGCTACTGCTACTGCTACTGCTACTGCTACTGCTACTGCTACTGCTACTGCTACTGCTACTGCTACTGCTACTGCTACTGCTACTACTAGATTGCTGCTGCTGTTCTACGAATTGATGGTTTTATCCTAGGTGTCTGTTGTTGGTCGTTCATTATGGGGCAACCTATGCTGCTCGTCTTCGTATGCTGTTATTCTTCTTGATCTTGATCTTCTTCGCCATCGTGGCATGTCACCGTTTGTCTGCTGTTAGCTATTTTTATTTTTTGAGTCGGCCGTGGCTACTCACTTATCCATATGTTTGCTTGGACGATCCCTAGATCTTGCACTTGGCGAGGCACCAAATGTAGGATATCTAGGCCACAAGTAGTGAGCTGCGGGGTCTTCTTCGTCTCGGCGGCAGGGGCTTTAGGGGATCCTCCTGACGGGGTTGCACATGGAGGACTCGAGTGTCCACATTGCTGGGGTTTTGCTTTGGCTATTGTGCGGAAAGACTTGAATTCGGCGTGCATTCATGGGGTGTAAACCTTAAACTTCTTTTGGCTAGTCGGCTAGTCTCGCGAGGCTTTAGTTGGACACCGGTGTCCATCTCACCACGCATGCCTGCTTTCGCAGCCTGGCCAACAGTTTTCTGGTGTCGGGCGATTCTCGCCTTGGTTCTTTGTAATTTTCTGGCATGTTCAAGCTACGGCGAGACACCTACTAGTACAACACCAGATGTGCAGTGATGTTCTTTCACATTGGTCTGGACACTGCCTCGCTGCAGTCCAAGATCAGCTTGTTATCACGTTAAACTGGTCGTTCAATGCTTTCCTGAACGGTGCTCTATCGTTAATGCTTTCGGTCGTGGAAGCTTGTGGGGCTTGACTCAAGCATCCAAGCAGAGCATGATGTTATTCTGGCTGTTGTTCGTGCTCTCAACCTGTGTCGTTCGCCGTCTTGTCTCACGTTGTGTTCATCGAAATTGCTGGGCAACGTTTTAGAATGGCTTGAGCATGCGCAGCTTTTGAAGCTTTTGAAAGGCTTTCCGGTCTAACGTCGTTAGACTCATGCTGCCGTGAGTTATTGACTACTAGTCACACAGGACGGCGCCGTGGTCATTGTGTGTTGTCATTTTATGCTTTTTGCTATTTGGGGTTGGTTCGTGTATCCAGCCATTTGTATGAGGTACAGCTTGAGGATGCAATGCTACACTTGCCGCTGTTCACATGTTGTTTGCTCTGTCGTTGTGCGTCTCTTTTTGGAAGTCATCCTTTGGATCTGTGTAAAGGCTGCTATGACCATGTGTATTCCGTGGATGCTGCATAGCACGTACATAAGCTAATGAGTCAATACTTACGCAAGGTATATCAAGTTATACATACCACCCAAGCGGCCGAGCCCGACCTTACTTACTATGAGCCAAAGCTCCAAGCACCTGCTCTCAGCATCCCCTCCTTCGCCGTCTCAATGTACATGAGGCCGCTGCGTCCGTGCGAACAGCCTCGCCGACGCGGGTCATCCAGTCACCGCCCATGGTGGGCGGCTTCGTGTCTTGGCTCACTTGGAACCATTGCGGACTTGGCGTTTGCTCGTGTCGGCGCGCGCAGGGTCAGCAATGGTTCGCAGTGCGTGGGATCCCTCCTGGCAGTTCAGCTTTGCTCGATGGAGCCACCGCCTCGAGCAATTTTGGCTCCTTGGGTCATCTGCACTCCTCCTCCCGAGCATCTCGCCGTTCGAAGCATGGCACGAGCAGTGGCTGTGGCTATGTCTCTTGTGAGCATCTTCTCCGTCCTCGCTTTTGTCCCCACACCCACACGGCCCACAGCCCCCGAGCCACAGGGCCTGCGCGGCCTGCGGGGCCTGCGGGGCCTGCGCACGAGACCCGCAAGGGCCGCGGCACCAGCGTCGAAGCTCCGGAAACTACGCGAGCTGCCTTCCCCGGCCTTGGGGCTCCTCTTTTCCTGTGCCTTCTGCGCCTTGCTGCTTGGGGCGGCTCAGGCCGGCGCCAGCTCCCTTGGGGCGAAAACGGGCCAGGTGGACTTCGTCTCGGATCCGCCCGTGCCCCGTGCGGTGCTTCAGGAGAAGCAGATGACGAAGGTGAAGCTGGCGCAAGCGCCGAGCAGGACGGAGATTGCAGAGAAAGTCCGGCGACAGGAGTTGGAGTACATGAAGTCCACATATGTCCCTGGCGGACCCAAGCCCAGCCGAATTGTGGCCATGTGAGGCCTAGCTTGTGGGATGTTTCGGGCAGTGTTACTGTTTCCGATAGGGTTTCATAAGTTGCAGCACCATGTTGCGCCCTTCGCGGTTTTGGTCGAAGTGGTCGCAAACTGGGCAGAGCACTGGTGTGCTGTCACAGTCTGTCGTAAGGTTGGAGTCCTTACTTCTGGCACTAGCTAAGAAGAGGCAAGGGGACGTGGGGGCATAAACCGGCTCTGCCTTGCATAATGGTTCTTGGTCAGTTGTTCCTAAAGTTCCCTGGCCTGGAATCCCGCTATTCCGGGCTACGTTTCCTTTTTGAATCACGATAGGCCGTCCTTCAAGGACCGCAGTATCGGTGCCAGTTAGACCGTTGGCATCTAGGCCCAGGCACGCCGTGGCCTGATTTTGCAATTTGCCTGCGAATGCACATCAGTTGTGTTCCCGTCGCCAAGGCGCCGACACAGGGAGCAAGACCTTAGAGCCTCCACGGCATCGCTTTGCAGCGGCCGAAGAAAGGTGATACCTTCATGTGGATGACACTTTGGTTTTAATAGCCGGTCCAAAAGTAGCTGCTAGCGGCCATTACTGCGCACTCGGACAGGCATATGGCCAGCGGTAGCAGCATTGGAGCCGAGAGGGTTCAGCAATTTCAGCACGAAGTCCATCGACTCAGAGAACCTGCCCTAAATCAGCTCTTGGGATTTTTTCACCATAGTAGCACAATAGGAACAGACTGCCATGGTGACCAGAAGTGAAGCGACCGGCACGGGTCGTGAACTTCCTCGCAATTTGGCTTCTAAACTTCTGGGGCTTTGGGAGCAGGCTTGGCTGTGTGTGTTGGAAGCGAGATTAAGACCGCATTAGCTCACTAGTCACTACGGGGCACGGCCCAGCTACTTCCCAAAAGCACTAGGCTTGTTTTCCCTGCACACCCTATGTCCTACTGTTGCATTGCCAGAGAGAGAGAGAGAGAGGGATGGAGACAGACAGACAGAAAGACAGACACACAGTCCAAGACAAGAACCAGGACGCGGCGACGCGTGGAGGCGGAAAGAGAGCGAGAGCCGCTTGTGCTCAGACCTGCACCATTCGACGCTATCCCAGAGACTCCCAAACTCCTTAGTCCTGAATCAGTTAAATGAAATCATAATCATTCAGGGATTATGCCACAGTTACTGGGGTTTTGGAGGAGTCTCTGGGCGCTCTGGGTTCCTGACCCTGGGTTTCAAGGGCTCCAATGCTAAATCCGACAACCCTAACCCTAAAACCCCAAACCAAAAAGCCCCAAACCTCAGCGAATCGGCTCAGTCCGCCAGTAAGCGAACTCGCCGTACCTACTACTGCAGACCTTGCCAGGCTTGTCCGAGTGTGAGTGTCAAAAGAAACCCCAAAATTTAATCTCAATTCTAGAGCGTAAACCCTAGAACCCCAAACTCTAAACCCTAAACCCCAAGTCTAAACCCAAACTCTAAACTCTGCTCAGCAGACAGCTGCTTTCGGACTCAACTGCGAGGAGGAAAAGGGCCGTTCAAAAAAAAAAAAAAACTTAAGGACCCCCGAAGAAGGGGGAGTCGCTTCGCTAAGGCTTGGATGCCAGAGTTGGGCTCCCCTCGTGCATCTCCCCGGGCCTTCTCACCGGGGCCCCCGCCGCTCGGAGAGGTGTGGGTTTTCGCCTTAGGGTCGAGGGTTTAGGGTTGAAGGTTTGGTTGAGGGTTTAGGGTTTAGGGGGGTCATGGGAGTTTGGGGTTGATTCAGTGAGGTTCTAGGGGTGTGTAGACTTTGGGAGTTATGAGGTTCGGGTATGTCAGGGGCTGAGTAGTTGGGATGACGTCCGCTGAGTCATCGTCGGGGGCAGACCATTGGTTCTTCTAACTTTCCGGGAAGTAGGTCTCTCTCTTGGTTTGATGCAAAGTACACTCGCATGAGCCTCAACTTCGAAGAACTCTCGGTATCAGTGCCCAGAATCTGGAAACATAGTCTTTGAGTTGAAGCAACACTAGCCAGAACAGGCACGTATAGTAAGATTTGGAATTGAGCCGGCACGCATAGTAAGATTTGGAATTGGGAGCAGCTAAAGGAGAACGCTGCTTTGAAGACAACAAGAAACGAACATGATGCAGAGCTGCGCACACGTCAGCGATTACAGCGTCAACGATATCAGTCGTAATCGCTACCACCCTCGTTCACCGTCACCAGCAAAAACGCCGTAATGACCACAATCACCACACCACCACGCGCCAGCACCAGCACGGTCATCATCAGCATTAATTACCACCTTGATCCTCGCCGTCCGCAGTGTCGCAGTTATCTTTATCACCAACACAATCATCACCATGACATCTCCAACCTTCCCGCACATCCTTCATGGTCGTCACATTTCTGTTGTCTGTCTGCCCGTCTGTCTGTCTGTCTGTCTGGCTGCAAGTATGTATGGATGTGTGCAGGTGTGTATGCATACTATACAGGTATATATATGTATATATATATATATGTATATATATATGTATATATATATAAGACTGCATGGGTGTGCGTGAGAGAGAGAGAGAGAGAGAGAGAGAGAGAGAGAGAGAGTGTGT